CGTCAACCATTTCGCCTAACTTTTTATAGCCGGAACGGATTGTGAGGTGGCCATTATTTTACGAGGAAATCAATGATCTTCCCTCATCTGCCCATCACTTAGGTGTCTATTTACGCAGCAACATGCGGGAGTTATGACACGTCTGCGAGGTGTCCGAGTGGTTAAGGCGATGAACTGCTAATCCATTGGGCTGTGACCGAGTGGCTTTGAGTCCCACCCTCGTCGACCATTTCGCCCAACTTTTTATAGTCGGAACGGATTGTGAGGTGGCCATTATTTTACGAGGAAATCAATGATCTTCCCTCATCTGCCCATCACTTAGGTGTCTATTTACGCAGCAACATGCGGGAGTCATGACACGTCTGCGAGGTGTCCGAGTGGTTAAGGCGATAGACTGCTAATACATTGGGCTGCAACCGAGTGGGTTCGAGTCCTACCCTCGCGATCATTTTGCCTCATGTTCGATATTCGGTACGTATCGCGATGGGGCCATTATTTTACGAAGCAATCAATGATGTTCCTTCATCTGCCCATCACTTACCTCTCTATTTACGCAGCAACTTGTGGAATCCATGACGCGTCGGGGAGGTGGTCGAGGGGTTAGGGCGATAAATTGCTAATTCAGTGGCCTGTGCCCGCATGGGATTGATTCCCACTCTCGTCGATCATTTTGCCTCATTTTTGATCGTCGAAACGTATTGCGAGGTGGCCATTATTTTACGAGGCAATCAATGATGTTGCTTCATCTTCGAATCATTTAGCTGTCTATTTACGCAGCAACATGCGGGAGCCGTGACGTGTCGGCCAGGTGGCCGAGTGATTAAGGCGATGAACTGCTAATAAATTGGGCTGTGAGCACGTGGATTCGAGTACCACTCTCGTCGATCATTTTGCGTCATTTTTATTGTCAGAACGTATTGCGAGGTGGCCATTATTTTACGAGAAAATCAATGATCTTCCTTCATCTGCCCATCACTTAGGTGTCTATTTTTGCAGCAACATGCGGGAGTCATGACGTGTCGGCGAGGTGGCCGAGTGGTTAAGGCGATAGACTGCTAATCCATTGGGCTGCGACCGAGTGGGTTCGAGTCCCACCCTCGTCGATCATTTTGCGTCATTTTTGATTGTTAGAACGTATTGTGAGTTGCCATTATTTTACGAGAAAATCAATGATGTTCCTTCATCTGCCAATCATTCGGCTGTCTATTTACGCAGCAACATGTGGGAGCCATGACGTGTCGGCGACGTGGCCGAGCGGTTAAGGCGATGAACTGATAAACCATTCAGCTGTGAGGACTTGGGTTCGAGTCCAACCCTCGTCGACCATTTTGCGTCATTTTTGATTATCAGAACGTATTGCGAGGGGGCCATTATTTTACAAGAAAATCAATGATGTTCCTTCATCTGCCCACCACCTAGATGTATATTTACGCAGCAATCAGCGGGAGTCATGACGCGTCGGGGAGGTGGTGGAGGGGTTAAGGCGATAGACTGCCGATCCATTGGGCTGTGCCCACGTGGGTTCGAGTCCCACCCTCGTCGATCATTTTGCTTCATTTTTGATCGTCACAACGTATTGCGAGGTGGCCAATATTTTACGAGGAAATCAATGATCTTCCTTCATCTGCCCATCACTTGGCTGTCTATTTACGCAGCAACATGCGGGAGCCATAATGTGTCGGCGAGGTGGCCGAGCTGTTAAGGCGATGAACTTATAACCATTCGGCTGTGAGCAGGTGGGTTCGAGTCCAACCCTCGTCGATCATTTTTGCGTCATTTTGATTATCAGAACGTATTGCGAGGTGGCCATTATTTTACGAGGAAATCAATGATGTTCCTTCATCTGCCCATCACTTAGGTGTCTATTTACGCAGCAACATGCGGGAGTCATGACGTGTCGGCGAGGTTACCGAGTGGTTAAGGCGATGGACTTCTAATTTATTGGGCTGTGCTCAAGTGGGTTTAAGTCTCACCCTCGTCGACCATTTTGCCTAATTTTTTATAGCCAAAACGGATTGTGAAGTGGCCATTGTTTTACGAGGAAATCAATAATTTTCCTTCATCTGCCCACGACTTAGCTGTCTATTTACGCAGCAACATGCAGGAGTCATGACGCGTCGGCAAAGTGGCCGTGTGGTTAAGGCAATAAACTGCTAATTCATTGGGCTGTACCCACATGGGTTTGAATCTCACCCTCGTCGATCATTTTGCCTCATTTTTGATTATCAGAACGTATTGCGAGGGGGCCATTATTTTACAAGAAAATCAATGATGTTCCTTCATCTGCCCACCACCTAGATGTATATTTACGCAGCAATCAGCGGGAGTCATGACGCGTCGGGGAGGTGGTGGAGGGGTTAAGGCGATAGACTGCCGATCCATTGGGCTGTGCCCACGTGGGTTCGAGTCCCACCCTCGTCGATCATTTTGCTTCATTTTTGATCGTCACAACGTATTGCGAGGTGGCCAATATTTTACGAGGAAATCAATGATCTTCCTTCATCTGCCCATCACTTGGCTGTCTATTTACGCAGCAACATGCGGGAGCCATAATGTGTCGGCGAGGTGGCCGAGCGGTTAAGGCGATGAACTTATAAACCATTCGGCTGTGAGCAGGTGGGTTCGAGTCCAACCCTCGTCGATCATTTTGCGTCATTTTTGATTATCAGAACGTATTGCGAGGTGGCCATTATTTTACGAGGAAATCAATGATGTTCCTTCATCTGCCCATCACTTAGGTGTCTATTTACGCAGCAACATGCGGGAGTCATGACGTGTCGGCGAGGTTACCGAGTGGTTAAGGCGATGGACTGATAAACCATTCAGCTGTGAGCACGTGGGTTCGAGTCCAACCCTCGTCGATCATTTTGCGTCATTTTTGATTATCAGAACGTATTGCGAGGTGGCCATTATTTTACGAGGAAATAAATGATGTTCCTTCATCTGCCCATCACTCAGGTGTCTATTTACGCAGCAACATGCGGGAGTCTTGACGCGTCGGCAAAGTGGCCGAGTGGTTAAGGCGATAAACTGCTAATTCATTGGGCTGTGCCCACATGGGTTCGAGTCCCGCCATCGTCGATCATTTTGCCTCAACCACCCTCATCGACTATTTTGCCTCATTTTTGATAGTCTGTACGTATTGCAAGGTGGCCATTATTTTACGAGGAAATCAATGATGTTCCTTCATCTGCCAATCTTTAGCTGTCTATTTACGCAGCAACATGCGGGAGCCATGACGTGTCGGTGAGCTGGCCGAGTGATTAAGGCGATGAACTGCTAATCCGTTTGGCTGTGAGCACGTGGGTTCGAGTCCCACCCTCGTCGATCATTTTGCGTCATTTTGATTGTCTGAACGTATTGCGAGGTGGCCATTATTTTAAGAGAAAATCAGTGATCTTCCATCATCTGCCCATCACTTAGCTGTCTATTTACGCAGCAACATGCGCGAACCATGACGTGTTGGCGAGGTGGCCAAGTGGTTAAGGCAATGGACTGCTAATCTATTCGGCTGTGCCCGCGTGATTCGAGTCCCACCCTCGTCGATCATTTTGCCTCATTTTTGATAGTGGGGACGTATTGCGATGTGGCCATTTTTTACGGGGCAATCAGGGATGTTCGTTCAACTGCCCGTCACTGAGGTGCCTATTTACGCCGTAACATGCGGGAGTCAGGACGCATCGGTTAGGTGGTCGAGGGGTTAAGGCGATAGCCTGCTAATCCATTGGGCTGTGCCCACGTGGAATTGAGTCCCACCCTCGTCGATCATTTTGCGTCATTTTTGATTGTCCGAACGTATTGCGAGGTGGCCATTTTTTCAGATAAAATCAATGATCTTCCTTCATCGGCCCACCACCTAGCTGTCTATTTACGCAGCTATATGCGGTAGTTTTGACGCGTTGGAGAGGAGGCCGAGTAGTTAATGCGATGGACTGCTAATCCATTAGGCTGTGCCCACGTGGGTTCGAGTTCCACTCTCGTCGCTCATTATGCCTCATTTTTGATAGTCGAAACGTATTGCGAGGAGGCCATTATTTTACGAGGCATTCAATGATGTTCCTTCGTCTGCGAATCATTTAGCTGTCTATTTACGCAGCAACATGCGGGAGATATGACGTGTCGGTCAGGTGGCCGAGTGATTAAGGCGATGAACTGGTAGTAAATTGGGCTGTGCCCACGTGGGTTCTAGTCTCACCCTCGTCGACCAGTTTGCCTAAATTTTTATAGTCGGCATGTATTGCGAGGTGGCCCTTATTTTTCGAGGAAATCAATGATGTTCCTTCATCTGCCCATCGCTTAGGTGTCTATTTACGCAGCTACATCTGAGAGCCATGACGTGTCGGCGACGTGGCCGAGTGGTTAAGGCGATAAACTGCTAATTCATTGGGCTGTGAGCACGTGGGTTTGAGTCCCACCCTCGTCGATCTTTTTGCGTCATTTTTGATTGTCTGAACGTATTGCGAGGTGGCCATTATTTTACGATAAAATCAATGATCTTCCTTCATCTGCCCCTCACTTAGGTGTCTATCTACGCAGCTACATGTGGGAGCCATGACGTGTCGGCGACGTGGCCGAGTGGGTAAAGCGATAAACTGCTAATTCATTGGGCTGTGCCTGAATTGGTTCGAGTACCACCCTCATCGACTATTTTGCCTCATTTTTGATAGTCTGTACGTATTGCAAGGTGGCCATTATTTTACGAGGAAATCAATGATGTTCCTTCATCTGCCAATCATTTAGCTGTCTATTTACGCAGCAACATGCGGGAGCCATGACGTGTCGGCAAGGTGGTCGAGGGGTTAAGGCGATAGCCTGCTAATCCATTGGGCTGTGCCCACGTGGAATTGAGTCCCACCCTCGTCGATCATTTTGCGTCATTTTTGATTGTCCGAACGTATTGCGAGGTGGCCATTTTTTAAGATAAAATAAATGATCTTCCTTCATCGGCCTATCATATAGCTGTCTATTTATGCAGCAACATGCGGGAGCCATGACGTATCGGTGAGGTGGCCGAGTGGTTAAGGCAATGGACTTCTAATCCATTAGGTTGTGCCTACGTGGGTTTGAGTCCCACCCTCCTCAATCATTTTGCCTCATTTTTGATAGTCGGAAGGTATTGCTAGGTGGTGATTATTTTATGAGGCAATCAGTGATGTTCCTTCATCTGCCCATCACTTAGCTGTCTATTTAGGCAGCAACATGTGGAAGCCATGACGTGTCGGCGACGTGGCCGAGTGGTTAATGCAATAAACTGCTAATTCATTGGGCTGTTTTGCATGGGTTCGAGCCCCACCCTCGTTGATCATTTTGCCTAATTTTTATAGTCGGAACGTATTGTGAGGTGGCCATTATTTTACGAGGCAATCCATGATGTTCCTTCATCTGCCCCTCACTTAGCTGTTTATCTACGCAGCTACTTGTGGGAGCCATGACGTGTCGGCGACGTGGCCGAGTGGTTAAGGCCATAAACTGCTAAATCATTGGGCTGTGCCCGCATTGGTTCGAGTCCCACCCTCATCGAATATTTTGCCTCATTTTTGATAGTCGGTACGTATAGCAAGGTGGCCATTATTTTACGAGGAAATCAATGATATTCCTTCATCTGCCAATCATTTAGCTGTTTATTTACGCAGCAACATGCGGGAGCCATGGCGTGTCGGCGAGGTGGCCGAGTGATTAGGGCGATGAACTGCTAATCCGTCTGGCAGTGAGCACGTGGGTTCGAGTCCCACCCTCGTCGATCATTTTGCGTCAATTTTGATTGTCTGAACGTATTGCGAGGTGGCCATTATTTTATGAGAAAATCTGTGATCTTCCATCATCTGCCCATCACTTAGCTGTCTATTTACGCAGCAACATGCGGGAGATATGACGTGTCGGTCAGGTGGCCGAGTGATTAAGGCGATGAACTGGTAGTAAATTGGGCTGTGCCTACGTGGGTTCGAGTCCACCCTCGTCGACCAGTTTGCCTAAATTTGTATAGTCGGCAAGTATTGCGAGGTGGCCATTATTTTTCGAGGAAATCAATGTTGTTCCTTCATCTGCCCATCGCTTAGGTGTCTATTTACGCAGCTACATCTGAGAGCCATGACGTGTCGGCGACGTGGCCGAGTGGTTAAGGCGATAAACTGCTAATTCATTGGGCTGTGAGCACGTGGGTTTGAGTCCCACCCTCGTCGATCATTTTGCGTCAATTTTGATTGTCTGAACGTATTGCGAGGTGGCCATTTTTTAAGATAAAATCAATTATCTTCCTTCATCGGCCCACCACCTAGCTGTCTATTTACGCAGCAACTTGCGGTAGTTTTGACGCGTTGGAGAGAAGGCCGAGTAGTTAAGGCGATGGACTGCTAATCCATTAGGCTGTGCCCACGTGGGTTCGAGTTCCACTCTCGTCGCTCATTATGCCTTATTTTTGATAGTCGAAACGTATTGCGAGGAGGCCATTATTTTACGAGGCAATCAATGATGTTCCTTCGTCTGCGAATCATTTAGCTGTCTATTTACGCAGCAACATGCGGGAGATATGACGTGTCGGTCAGGTGGCCGAGTGATTAAGGCGATGAACTGGTAGTAAATTGGGCTGTGCCTACGTGGGTTCGAGTCCCACCCTCGTCGACCAGTTTGCCTAAATTTGTATAGTCGGCAAGTATTGCGAGGTGGCCATTATTTTTCGAGGAAATCAATGTTGTTCCTTCATCTGCCCATCGCTTAGGTGTCTATTTACGCAGCTACATCTGAGAGCCATGACGTGTCGGCGACGTGGCCGAGTGGTTAAGGCGATAAACTGCTAATTCATTGGGCTGTGAGCACGTGGGTTTGAGTCCCACCCTCGTCGATCATTTTGCGTCATTTTTGTATTGTCTGAACGTATTGCGAGGTGGCCATTATTTTACGAGAAAATCAATGATCTTCCTTCATCTGCCCCTCACTTAGGTGTCTATCTACGCAGCTACATGTGGGAGCCATGACGTGTCGGCGACGTGGCCGAGTGGGTAAAGCGATAAACTGCTAATTCATTGGGCTGTGCCTGCATTGGTTCGAGTACCACCCTCATCGACTATTTTGCCTCATTTTTGATAGTCTGTACGTATTGCAAGGTGGCCATTATTTTACGAGGAAATCAATGATGTTCCTTCTTCTGCCCATCACTTAGGTGTCTATTTTCGCAGCAACATGCGGGAATCATAACGCGTCGGCGTCGTTGCCGAGTGTTTAAGGTGATGGTGTGTTATTTTATTAAGCTGTGCCCACGTGGGTTTGAGTCCCACCCTAGTCGTTCATTTTGCCTAATTTTTATAGTCGTAACGTATATAGAGGTGGCTATTATTTTACGAGGAAATCAATCATGTTCCTTCATCTGCCCATCATTTGGGTGTCTATTTACCCCGCAACATGCGGGAGTCATGACAAATCGGCGAGGTGGCCGAGTGATTAAGGCGATGAACTGCTAATAAATTGGGCTGTGAGCACGTGGATTCGAGTACCACTCTCGTCGATCATTTTGCGTCATTTTTATTGTCAGAACGTATTGCGAGGTGGCCATTATTTTACGAGAAAATCAATGATCTTCCTTCATCTGCCCCTCACTCAGGTGTCTATTTACGCAGCAACATGCGGGAGCCATTACGCGTTGGTGAGGTGGCCGAGATGTTAAGGCGATGGACTGCGTATCCATCGGGCTGTGCCCGTATGGTTTCGAGTCCCACCCTCGTCGATCATTTTGCCTAATTTTTTATAGTTGTGGCGACGCAAAGCGGTGCTCCTGTGTGCGGTGCAGAGAGCGCATGCACCCGCACGAGAAAGTTATCTTCGAGAGGAAGGGTGATAATAAAAGTGAGTTGTTGTTTGGGACGCGAGTTGTTCACTTGCGCAGCTCTGCCGAGCGACGCGTCTCAACATTGGTGACCCGGACTCGGAATACAGACACAGCGACCGGAGTGTCGAACCAGCCGCAATATGGATTCAACGTCCACGACCGACGCCTCTCCGACAGTCTCCTCAGTCGACGGTAAGCTGCCACCTTTTCGGACTGCGGACCCCGCACTTTGGTTCATACAAGTGAAATCTCAGTTCGCAGTCAGACGAATCACCGCACACCTTACAAAATACCACTGCGTAGTCAGCAGTCTGCCGCCCGCCATGGCCAGTGAAATCAGGGATCTGTTGCTCGCACCACCTGTCGAAAACGCATATGCAACGCTAAAAGAAACCCTTATTCGCCGAGTTACACCCTCCGAACCACAACGACTGCAGCAATTGCTTCGCGGCACGGAACTCGGTGACCGTACTCCTAGTCGGCTTTTGCGGCACATGCAACAGTTGCTTGACGGAACATCAAACACGATAGATGGAGTATTGCTCCGAGAGCTTTTTTTGCAAAAGTTGCCTTCAGGCGTCCGCATGGTCATGGCGGCCTCAGAGCACAAGAATTTAAGCGCAGCCGCTGAACTTGCTGACAAACTGGTAGCAATGACACCGCCCACACACATGTCTGCCGTGCAAGCGCAACAGCCTCTAAACTAACTTCAAGAGATGCGTGAGGAGATTGCTCGACTTGCCGAAACAGTATCAGCTTTGCACGCTAGCAGGAGGGTGCAAACGATAACCGAGCCTAACACGCCGCTATCGCAAGAGCAGAACGAGCATATCTGCTGGTATCATTGGAGGTTCGGAAGTAGTGTGCGTGAATGTGTCCCACCGTGCGCGCACTCGAGAAACAGCCGCGGCAGGCACTGAGGGCGACCAGTGCTACTTCGTTGCCTCCAAGTCGTCCCTCAGTATTTTTTATTACCGACCGCAACACGGAATACGTTTCTTAGTGGACACAGGCACGGAGGTGAGCGTTATACCGGCGTCACAAGCTGAAAGAAGGAAACCTAGTACATCGCCCTTGCAAGCTGTCTATAACACGGTGATAACAACATATGGCCATCGTTCACTGTCGCTGAACTTCGGTTTCGGCAGAACGTGTAGCTAGGTGTTCATAGCTGCTGATGTGAAATTCGCCATACTAGGCGCAGACTTTCTCCAGTTATTCGGTCTGTTGGTCGACGTCCGCAACAAACGGCTTCAAGATCCCGTTTCTCGGGGAGCGGTACAAGGCACGCCGTGTTGGCATCTCCCTATCAGCCCGGCCTAGCTTAGTCCGGCTGGAGAAGCGTACTTCACCGCAATACTACAAGAGTTCCCAGAGCTGACACGACAGCCACAGGCATTTCCAGAAGTAAAGCACGGCGTCCTGCATCACATCGAAACCACAGGCCCACCGGTCTATGCGCGACAACGGCGCCTGTCACCCGAGAAGCTGCGGTTGGCTCGACAGGCGTTTGCCCACATGATGGAACTCAGGATAGTACATCCTTCATCCAGCCCATATGCGTCGCCTCTTCACATGGTCCCAAAATCAACATACGGTGATTGGCGCCCTTGCGGGGACTATCGAGTGCTGAACCGGGTAACCGTGCCAGACCATTACCCAGTCCCGCACATTCATGACATGACCTCCTTCCTGCATGGTGCTACCATTTTCTCTAAAATAGATCTAGTGCGAGCATATCATCAGATACCCGTAGCACCGGAGCATATCCCCAAGACCGCAATAACAACGCCGTTCGGAATGTTCGAGTTCCTACGCATGCCTTTCGGCTTACACAACGCCGGCCAAACTTTTCAACGGTTTATGGATGGCGTTGTCCGTGGCCTCGACTTTTGCAAGGTATACCTCGATGATCTTCTGATTGCTAGCAGCACTCCTGAAGAGCACGAGCGGCATCTGCGCTACGTACTTCAGCGACTGACAGAGAAAGGCATCGTTATCAATACGGCAAAGTGCGTGTTTGGGGTACCGACACTATCATTTTTGGGCCACAGCATTTCAAGTGCCGGAGTACAGCCCCAGAAGGACAAGGTGGAAGCAGTACGGCAGTTTCCACGGCCGAAAAACCTCCGCCAGCTTCGAGAGTTCCTTGGACTCGTGAATTTCTACCGTAGGTTTATCCCGAAATCCGCCAACATCCTTCACCCTCTCCACAGCCTACTTGCGGCAACTGGATCTAAGGCAACTGCCATTCAGTGGAACGACCAATCCACACAAGCATTCCGAATGATAAAGGAAGCTCTCGCAAATGCTACCATGCTCAAGTACCCGCAGCTGGGTGTTCCTCAGTGCGTCTTGGTGGACGCCTCCGATGCAGCGATTGGAGCCGTGTTGCAGAAGAGGGTGAGCGGAGTGTGGCGACCAATTTCCTTCTTCTCCAGAAACCTGAGCCCGTCCGAACGAAGGTAAAGCACCTTCGGTAGGGAACTCCTGCCATATACGCGGCTATCGGGCATTTCCGACATTATGTGGAAGGACAAGAATTTTTTGTGCTCACGGATCACAAGCCACTCACCTACGCATTGCGCGCGAACTCCGATTCTGGTGCATGCGTGGCACGGGAGCTCCGCCAAATGTCGTACATCGCAGAATTCACGACAGATATACGCCATGTTATTGGCAAGGATAATGCTGCTGCCGACGCTCTTTCGCGCGGTCCAGTGAATGCCATCAGCCTGCCGAGTGGCGTGGACTTCACCACACTTACGGCGGCTCAACGCAGTGATGAAGAATTGAAGCGTCTACTGACGTCTTCAACCAGCGCGTTGAAGCTGCAATGGTTAGCAGAACCCACAGGATCTGCATGCTGCTACATGTCTACAGGCAAGGCCCGACCGTTCGTCCCCTCGAACCTTCGTCGCAGCATTTTTGACTTGCTGCACAGCCTGGCGCATCCCGGGATTCGAGCCACGCAACGACTATGCACAGCGAGGTTCGTGTGGCCAGGAATAAACCGGGATGTCCGATACTGGACACGAGAGTGCATCGCATGCCAGCGCTCCAAAGTTCAGCGATATATTGTGACCCCCTTGGGATCCTTCCCTCTGCCGGACTGCCGATTTGCCCTTGTGCATGTTGACATTGTGGGACCCCTGCCGTTGTGCCAGGGGCAAAGCTACTTGCTAACCTGCATCGATGACTTCACGCGATGGCCGGAGGCCGTGCCCATTCCAGACATGACTGCTGATACGGTCGCCCGCGCATTTATCTTCCACTGGGTGGCCCACTTCGGAGTGCTGGCAACCGTGACTACGGATCGCGGAACCCAGTTTGAGTCCGCCCTGTTCGCAAGCGTCACCCGGCTCTTGGGTACTCACCGCATCAGAACAACTGCCTAACATCCGATAAGCAACGGTATAGTGGAAAGGTTCCATCGCCTGCTGAAGACGAGCCTGACGGCTACTGCGAGTCACAGTTGGATAGAGGCACTGCCGTTTGTTCTGTTGGGCGTGAGGACGGCTCTGAAAGCAGATATTGGATGCTGCTCCGCTGAACTGGTTTACGGAACAACGCTTCGCCTCCCAGGGGAGTTTTTCACTACCAGTAAGGACGAAAACGTGTACGCGAACGCGGACTACGCCGTGCGACTGCGAGACATCATGAGCAAGCTACGCGCTGTTCCTCCGCGTCCGCCCGCAGCCCGGCCAGTCTACATGGACCGGGAACTCTCCTCCTGCTCTCACGCGTTTGTGAGGCATGACGCCGTACAGCCTCCACTCCGGCCCCCGTACGACGGGCCTTTCAAGGTGCTGCGACGAGCAGACAGGCACATTACCATCGACAGAGGTGGTCGTCACGACGTGGTTTCTCTAGACCGCGTAAAATCAGCACACGTGGACTCCGACAGCGAAGCACCTGCACCACCTCGAGCTCCATCTTCGCAGGCACCCCCGGCAGACCACGTAGCGCAGCCCCAACAAGTCCTCAAACGGTTTACGCGGAGTGGACGGTGTACGAGACCCCCTGTGCGCATGAACTTATGAACCGCAGTGGGTCGTTCGAGTGCGGCCATTGCGCGCGCACTCACTAGGGGGGGAGTACTGTGGCGACGCAAAGCGGTGCTTCTGTGTGCGGTGCAGAGAGTGCATGCACCCGCACGAGAAAGTTATCTTCGAGAGGAAGGGTGATAATAAAAGTCAGTTGTTGTTCGGGGCGAGAGTTGTTCACTTGCGCAGCTCTGCCGAGCGACGCGTCTCAACACAGTCGTAACGGATTGTGAGGTGGCCATTATTTTACGAGTAACTCAATGATGTTCCTTCATCTGCCCATCACTTAGGTGTCTATTTACGCAGCAACATGCGGGAGTCATGACGCGTCGGCGAGGTGACCGAGTGGTTAAGGTTATGGACTGCTAATTTATTAGCTGTGGCCACGTGGTTTCGAGTCCCACCCTCGTTGACCATTTTGCCTAATTTTTTATAGTCGGCGTGTAGTGTGAGGTGGCCATTATTTTACGAGGAAATCAATGATGTTCCTTCATCTGCCCATCATTTGAGTGTCTATTTACGCAGCAACATGCGGGAGTCATGACAGGTCTGCGAGGTGTCCAAGTGGTTAAGGCGATGGACTGGTAATCCATTGGGCTGTGCCCACGTGGGTTCGAGTCCCACCCTAGTCGATCATTTTGCCTCATTTTTGATAGTCGGAACGTATTGCGATGTGACCATGATTTTACGAAGCAATCAATGATGTTCCTTAATCTGCCCATCACTTAAGTGTCTATTTACGCAGCAACATGCGGGAGCCATGACGTGTTGGCGAGGTGGCCGAGTGGTTAAGGCGATGAACTGCTAATTCATTGGGCTGTGCTCGCGTGGTTTCAAGTCCCACCGTCGTCAATCATTTTGCCTCATTTTTTACAGTCGGAACGTACTGCAAGGTGGTCATTATTTTACGAGGAAATTGATGATGTTCCTTCACCTGCCGATCACTTAGGTGCCTATTTTCACAGCAATATGTGGGAGCCATGACGTGTCGGCGACGTGGCTGAGTGGTTAAGGCAATAAACTGCTCATTCATTGGGCTGTTTTGCATGGATTCGAGCCCAACCCTCGTCGATTATCTTGCCTAACCTTTATAGTCGGAACGTATTGCGAGGTGGCATTATTTTATGAGGAAATCAATGATGTTCCTTCATCTGCCCATCACTTAGCTGTCTATTTACACAGCAACATGCGGGAGCGATTACGCGTCAGCGAGGTGGCCGAATGGTTAAGGGGATGGACTGCTAATCCATTGGGCTGTGCTTACGTGGGTTCGAGTCCCACCCTCGTCAATCTTTTTGCCTCATTTTTGATAGTCGGAAGGTATTGCTAGGAGGTCATTATTTTACGAGGCAATCAATGATGTTTCTTCATCTGCCCATCACTTAGGGGTCTATTTACGCAGCAACATGTTGGAGCCATGATGTGTCGGCAACGTGGCCGAGTGGTTAAGGCGATAAACTGCTAATTCATTGGGCTGTGCCCGCATGGGTTGGAGTCCCACCCTCGTCGATCATTTTGCCTCATTTTCAATAGTCGGAACGCATTCCGATGTGGCCATTTTTTACGAGGCAATCAGTGATGTTCGTTTATCTGCCATCACTGAGGTGTCTATTTACGCAGCAACATGCGCGAGTCATGACGCGTCAGCGAGGTGGCCGAGTGGTTAAGGCGATACACTGAAAATTCCTTGGACTGTGCCCACTTGGGTTCGAGTCCCACCCTCGTCAATCATTTTGCCTCATTTTTTACAATCGGAACGTACTGCAAAGTGGTCATTATTTTACGAGGAAATTGATGATGTTTCTTCATCTTACCATTTCTTAGGTGTCTATTTTGACAGCAACATGCGGGAGCCATGACGCGTAGGCGAGGTGGCCGAGTGGTGAAGGCGATAGACTGCTAATCCATTGCCGAATGGGTTTGAGTCCCACCCTCGTCGACCATTTCGCCTAAATTTTTGATTGTCAGAACGTATTGCGAGGTGGTCATTATTTTACGAGGCAATCAATGATGTTCCTTCATCTGCCCATCACTTAGCTGTCCATTTAAGCAACAACATGTGGAAGCCGTGACGTGTCGGCGAGGTGGCCGGGTGATTAAGGCGATGGACTGCTAATCCATTTGGCTGTGCCCGCGTGTGTTCGAGTTCACCCTCCGCGATCATTTTGCCTAATTTTTATAGTCGGAGCGTATCGCGAGGTGGCCATTATTTTACGAGGCAATCAATGATGTTCCTTCATCTGCCCATCACTTAGGTGTCTATTTACACAGCAATATGTGGGAGCCATCACGTGTCGGCGACATGGCCGAGTGGTTAAGGCAATAAACTGCTAATTCATTGGGCTATTTCGCATGGGTTCGAACCCCACACTCGTCGATTATTTTGCCTATCTTCTTATAGTCGGAACGTATTGCGAGGTGGCCATTATTTTACGAGGCACTCAATGATGTTTCTTCATCTGCCAATGATTTACCTGTCTATTGTCATGGGGTCGTGACGTGGCCGAAGACAGGAGACTTCGTGTTGGGATTGAACTGTTTATTTCGGTGAACCTGTGCCCGGAGAACGGAAAGTCCAATTACAGCAGCAGTCTCGCACAGATTGCAGTCTCGGACTGATAGCGGCGAACGGAGCGTCGGCCTTCGATCAACAACTGACAAGCGGCGAAGCGCGTCGGCATTTATACTCTTGCCGTCGAATGTTCTAGCGTTATCGCTGGCGGTGGCGTAGGTTCCAGAACAATCTGTACCGTTCGCACAGTGGGCGTGATCTTATCGAAATGATCTACTACAATCCGGAACCTTCTCGAAAGCTGCAGGCGCGGTTTGCGCTGAGAATCGTGTGATGTTTTGGGACGATAACAGAAACTTGGGTAATGGAACGTGGCATTGCCCCCCTCTGAAAAAAGGCATCGTCCCGATGCTTTAACTAAATATGAAAGTACAATAATAATGCAAGAAAGTACAATGAATAAATTATGATACAACAATAATACAAAAAAACACTGTTTCAGTTTGTTAACGCGCATGAAACGGCTTGAGGCGCGCGACATGGACGACTTCAGGTCGCGATCGGCGTCGTTGAGAGTTCGTGATGCCGTCGGGGACAACCTCGTAATCAAGTGGGCCGAGACGTCAAACCACCCTTTACGGTCTGAAGTACCGTCGCAGAAGCTTTTCACTTAGTCCACGTCGGCGTATCGGCGTCCACACCCAAACACGTTCACCGGGCTGGTAATCCACGAAGCGTCGTCGAAGATTGTAACGGTGGCTGTTGGTCGTATGTTGATTCTTGATACGGAGACGCGCAAGTTGTCGGGCTTCTTCGGCGCGTTGAAGGTACTCGCTCACATCGAGGTTTTCTTTGTCGGTGACGTTGGGTAACAAGGCATCGAGCGTCGTTGCCGGGCTACTTCCGTAGACCAATTTGTATGGAGATATCTGCGTCGTCTCCTGCACCGCCGTGTTGTATGCGAAGGTCACATACGGAAGAATGGCATCCCACGTCTTGTGTTCGACATCGACGTACATTGACAGCATGTCGGGGATCGTCTTGTTAAGCCGCTCGGTGAGGCCGTTGGTCTGTGGGTGGTACGCTGTCGTCCGGCGGTGGTTTGTTTGGCTGTATGCCAAGATCGCTTTAGTTAAGTCGGCAGTGAATGCCGTTCCTCTGTCGGTGATAAGGACCTCCGGGGCGCCGTGACGTAGGACGATATTTTCGACGAAGAACTTAGCTACCTCGGATGCACTGCCTTTTGGCAGGGCTTTTGTCTCGGCGTAGCGGGTGAGGTAGTCGGTAGCTACCACGATCCACTTGTTTCCGAAAGCCGACGTCGGGAACGGCCCCAGTAGGTCCATACCAATCTGCTGGAAAGGTCGACAAGGTAGATCAATTGGCTGCAGAAGTCCCGCTAGCCTTGTCGGCGGTGTCTTGCGTCGCTGACAGTCCCGGCATGTCCTCACATAACGAGTGACGTCGGTGGTAAGACGTGGCCAGTAGTACCTTTCTTGTATCCTCGCGGGCGTGCGAGAAACACCGAGGTGCCCTGCCGTCGGATCGTCGTGCAGGGCCTGCAGGAGTTCTGGTCGCAGAGCTGAAGGCACTACGTGGAAGTACTTAGCTCGAAGCGGTGAAAAGTTTTTCTTTTGTAGAAGACCATTTCGTAGAAAGAACGACGCAAATGCGCGCTTGAATACCTTCGGGACTTCGACGGTCCTGCCTTCGAGGTATTTTATTAGGCCTTAAGTTCCGGGTCGGCCCGCTGTCGTTCAGCGAAGTCGTCGGTAGTTATCGTTCCCAAGAAGTAGTCGTCCTCCGGGTCGTCGGGTAGCGGTTGGTCGACAGGCGCACGAGAGAGACAGTCGGCGTCGGAGTGTGTTTTTGCCGGACTTCTAAATGACAGTAATGTCATATTCTCTAAGTCTCAGGCTCCATCGTGGTGGCGACCTGAAGGGTCCTTCAAGGTGGCTAGCCAACACAAGGCGTGGTGGTCGCTCACAACTTTGAAGGGCCTGCCGTAGAGGTAGGGGCGAAATTTCAACGCAGCCCAGATGATGGCGAGGCACTCCTTTTCTGTTGTGGAATAATTTGCTTCTGCTTTGGATAGCGATCGGCTGGCGTAACTATTAACCCTTTCAGTCCGTCAGCCTTCTGCACAAGAACGGCGCCAAGCCCTACGCTGCTTGCGTCAGTATGTATTTCTGTCTCGGCGAATTCGTCGAAATGGACAGTAACGGAGGCGTCTGGAGGCGATGTTTAAGCTGCGGGAAAGCATGTTCCTGTGGCGTTTCCCACTTGAACTCCACGTCGGCCTTGGTAAGGTTAGTGAGGGGATCGGCGATGCAGGCGAAGTTTTTCACGAACCGCCTATAATAGGCGCACAGGCCCAGAAATCGGCGCACGGCTTTTTTGTCAGTGGGCGGCGGGAAGTCGGCGATGGCGGCTGTTTTCCGTGGATCGGGACGAACTCCAGACTTGCTGATAACGTGCCCCAGAAACAAGAGATCCTCATACGCAAATCGGCACTTTTCTGGTTTCAGTGTGAGTCCGGAAGTCTTGATGGCTTAAAGTACAGCTTCAAGGCGCCGAAGATGCTCGTCGAAACTTGAGGAAAATACGACGATGTCGTCCAAGTACACAAGGCAAGTCTGCCACTTCAATCCTGCCAGTACTGTATCCATAACAGTACTGGCAGGTGGCCGAGTTGGCGAGGTGGCCGAGTGGTTAAGGCGATGGACTGCTAATCCATCGAGATGTGCCCGTATGCTTTCGAGTCCCACCCTCGTCGATCATTTTGCCTAATTTTTATAGTCGTAACGGATTGTGAGGTGGCCATTATTTTACGAGTAAATCAATGATGTTCCTTCATCTCCCCATCACTTAGGTGTCTATTTACACAGCAACATGCGGGAGTCATGACGCGACGGCGAGGTGACCGAGTGGTTAAGGCGATCGACTGCTAATTTATTGGGCTGTGCCCACGTGGGTTTGAGTCCCACCCTCGTCGACCATTTTGCCTATTTTTTAATAGCCGGAACGGATTGTGAGGTGGCCATTATTTTATGAGGAAATCAATGATCTTCCCTAATCTGCCCATCATTTGGGTGTGTATTTACGCAGCAAAATGCGGGAGTCATGACATGTCTGCGAGGTGTCCGAGTGGTTAAGGCGATGGACTGCTGATTCATTGGGCTGTGCTCGCGTGGTTTCGAGTCCCACCCTCCGCGATCATTTTGCCTAATTTTTATAGTCGGAACGTATCGCGAGGTGGCCATTATTTTACGAGGCAATCAATGATGTTCCTTCATCTGCCCATCACTTAGGGGTCTATTTACGCAGCAACAAGTTGGAGCCATGACGTGTGGGCAACGTGGCCGAGTGGTTAAGGCGATAAACTGCTAATTAATTGGGCAGTGCCCGCATGGGTTGGAGTCCCACCCTGGTCGATCATTTTGCCTCTTTTTCGATAGTCGCAACGTATTCCGATGTGGCCATTTTTTACGAGGCAATCAGTGATGTTCGTTTATCTGCCCATCACTGAGGTGTCTATTTACGCAGCAACATGAGTGAGTCATGACGCGTCGGCGAGGTGGCCGAGTGTTTAAGGTGATACACTGGAAATCCATTGGACTGTGCCCACGTGGGTTCGAAACCCACCGTAATCAATCATTTTGCCTAATTTTTTACAGTCGGAACGTACTGCAAGGTGGTCATTATTTTACGAGGAAATCGATGATGTTCCTTTATCTGCCCATCACTTAGGTGTCTATTTTGGCAGCAAAATGCCGAGTGATGAAGCGTAGGCGAGGTGGCCCAGTAGTTAAGGCGATAGACTGCTAATCCATTGGGCTGTGACCGATTGGGTTAGAGTCCCACCCTCGTCGACCATTTTGCCTAATTTTTATAGCCAGAACGTATTGCGAGGTGGCCATTATTTCACGAGGAAATCAATGATGTTCCTTCATCTTCCCATCACTTAGGTGTCTATTTACGCAGCAACATACGGGAGCGATTACGCGTCGGCGTGGTGGCCTAGTGGTTAAGGGCGACGGACTGCTAATCCATTTGCTGTTATGGGTTCGAGTCCCACCCTCGTCGATCATTTGGCATTGTTTTTTATTATCAAAACGGATTGTGAAGTGGCCATTATTTTACAAGGAAATCAATGTAGTTCCTTCATCTGCCCATCACTTAGCTGTCTATTTTTGCAGCAATATGCGAGAGCCATGACGGGTCGGCGAGGTGGCCGAGTGGTTAAGGCGATGGACTGCTAATCCATTGGGCTGTGCCCACGTGGGTTCGAGTCCCGCCCTCATCGTTCATTTTGCCTCATTTTTGATAGTCGGTACGTATTACGAGGTGGGCATTATTTTACGAGGCAATCAAGATCATCTTTCATCTGCTCATCACTTAGCTGTCCATTTACGCAGAAACATGGGGGAGCCATGACGTGTCGGCGAGGTGGTCGAGTGGTTAAGGCGATGGACTACTAATCCATTGGGCTGTGCCCACGTGGGTTCGAGTTCCGCCCTCGTCGGTCATTTTGCCTCATTTTTGATAGTCGGTACGTATTACGAGGTGGGCATTATTTTCCGAGGCAATCGATGATGTTCCTTCATCTGCCCATAACTTAGGTGTCTATTTTGGCAGCAACATGCGGGAGTGATGACGCGTAGGCGAGGTGGCCGAATAGTTAAGGCGATTGACTGCTAATCTATTGGGCTGTGACCGATTTGGTTTGAGTCCCACTCTCGTCGACCATTTTGCCTAATTTTTTATAGCCGGAACGTATTGCGAGGTGGCCATGATTTCACGAGGAAATCAATGATGTTCCTTCATCTTCCCATCACTTTGGTGTCTATTTACACAGAAACCTGCGGGAGCAATTACGCGTCGGCGAGGTGGCCGAGTGGTTAAGGCGATGGACTGGTAATCCATTTGGCTGTGCCCGTATGGGTTCGAGTCCCACCCTCGTCGATTATTTGACATTACTTTTTATTTTCAAAACGGATTGTGAGGTGGCCATTTTTTTACAAAGAAATCAATGGAGTTCCTTCTTCTCCCCATCACTTAGGCGTCTATTTACGCAGCAACATGCGGAACTTATCACGCATGGGCGAGGTAGCCGAGTGGTTAAGGCGATGGACTGCTAATTTATTGGGCTGTCCTAAGGTGGTTTCGAGTCCCACCCTCTTCGATAATGTTGCCTCATTTTCGATAGTCGGTACGTATTGCGAGGTGACCATTATTTTAAGAGGAAATCAATAATCTTACTTCATCTGCCCATCACTTAGCTGTCTATTTACGCAGCAACATGCGGGACCCATGACGTGCCGGCGAGGTGGCCGAGTGGTTAAGGCGATCGACTGCTAATCCATTGGGCTGTGCCCGCGTGGGTTCGTGTCCCACCCTCGTCAATCATTTTGCCTCATTTTTGATAGTCGAAACGTATTGCGAGGTGGCCATTATTTTATGAGGAAATCAATGATGTTCCTTTATCTGCGCATCACTTAGTTGTCTATTTACGCAGCAACATGCTGGAGCCAAGACGTGTCGGCGACGTGGCTGAGTGGTTAAAGCGATGGACTGCTTATCTATTGAGCTGTGCCCGCGTGGTTTCAAGTCCCACCCTCCGCGCTCATTTTGCCTAATGTTTATAGTCTGAACGTATCGCGAGGTGGCTATTATTTAACTAGGCAACCAATGATGTTCCTTCATGTGCCCATAACTTAGCAGACTATTTATTTAGCAACATGCGGGAGCCATGATGTGTCGGCGATGTGGCCGAGTGGTTATTAAGGCGATGGAGTGCTAATCCATGGGGATGTGCCCGCAGGGGTTGGAGTACCACCTTGGTCGATCATTTTGCCTCTTTTTCGATAGTCGGAACGTATTCCGATGTGGCCATTTTTTACGAGGCAATCAGTGATGTTCGTTTATCTGCCCATCACTGAGGTGTCTATTTACGCAGCAACATGCGCGAGTCATGACGTGTCGGCGAGGTGGCCGAGTGTTTAAGGCGATAAGCTGGTAATCCATTGGACTGTGCCCACGTGGGTTCGAAACCCACCCTAGTCAATCATTTTGCCTCAATTTTTCCAGTCGGAACGTACTGCAAGGTGGTCATTATTTTACGAGGAAATCGATGATGTTCCTTTATCTGCCCATCACTTAGGTGTCTATTTTGGCAGCAACATGCCGGAGTGATGACGCGTAGGCGAGGTGGCCCAGTAGTTAAGGCGATAGACTGCTAATCCATTGGGCTGTGACCGATTGGGTTAGAGTCCCACCCTCGTCGACCATTTTGCCTAATTTTTTATAGCCGGAACGTATTGCGAGGTGGCCATTATTTCACGAGGAAATCAATGATGTTCCTTCATCTTCCCATCACTAAGGTGTCTATTTACGCAGCAACATACGGGAGCGATTACGCGTCGGCGAGGTGGCCAAGTGGTTAAGGCGACGGACTGCTAATCCATTTGCTGGTATGGGTTCGAGTCCCACCCTCGTCAATCATTTGGCATTGTTTTTTTATCAAAACTGATTGTGAAGTGGCCATTATTTTACAAGGAAATCAATGATGTTCCTTCATCTGCCCATCACTTACCTGTCTATTTGCGCAGCAACATGCGAGAGCCATGACGGGTCGGCGAGGTGGCCGAGTGGTTAAGGCGATGGACTGCTAATCCATTGGCTGTGCCCGCGTGGGTTCGAGTCCCGCCCTCGTCGATCATTTTGCCTCATTTTTGATAGTCGGTACGTATTACGAGGTGGGCATTATTTTACGAGGCAATCGATGATGTTGCTTTATCTGCCCATCACTTAGCTGTCTATTTACGCAGCAACATGGGGAAGCCATGACGTGTCGGCGAGGTGGCCGAGTGGTTAACGCGATGGACTGTTAATCCATTGGGCTGTGCCCGCGTGGGTTCGAGTCCCACCCTTATCGATCATTTTGCCTCATTTTCGATAGTCGGAACGTATCGCAATGTGGCCATTATTTAACCAGACAATCAATGATTTTCGTTCATCTGCCCATCACTGAGGTGTCTATTTACGCAGCAACATGCGGTAGACTTGACGCGTCGGCGAAGTGGCCGAGTGGTTAAAGCGATGAATTGCTAATCCATTGTGCTGTGCCCGTCTGGGTTCGAGTCCCACCCTCGTCGATGAATTGGCCTAATTTTTTATAGTCGAATCGGATTGTGAGTTGGCCATTATTTTACGAGGAAATCAATAATGTTCCTTCTTCTGCCCATCACTTAGGTGTCTATTTACGCAGCAACATGCGGGAGTGATGACGCGTAGGCGAGGTGGCCGAGTAGTTAAGGCGATAGACTGCTAATCCATTGGGCTGTGACCGATTGGGTTTGAGTCCCACCCTCGTCGACCATATTGCCTAATTTTTTTTAGCCGGAACGTATTGCGAGGTGGCCATTATTTCACGAGGAAATCAATGATATTCCTTCATCTTCCCATCACTTAGGTGTCTAGTTACGCAGCAACATGCGGGAGCGATTACGCGTCGGCGAGGTGGCCGAGTGGTTAAGGCGATATACTGCTAATCCATTTGGCTGTGCCCGTATGGGTTCGAGTCCCACCCTCGTCGAACATTTGGCATTATTTTTTATTTTCAAAACGGATTGTGAGGTGGCCATTATTTTACAAGGAAATTAATGATGTTCCTTCTTCTGCCCATCACTTAGGTGTCTATTTACGCAGCAACATGCGGAACTTATCACTCATTGGCGAGGTAGCCGAGTGGTTAAGGCGATGGACTGCTAATTTATTAGGCTGTCCCAAGGTGGGTTTGAGTCCCACCCTCTTCCATAATGTTGCCTCATTTTCGATAGTCGGTACGTATTGCGAGGTGACCATTATTTTAAGAGGAAATCAATAATCTTCCTTCATCTGACCATCACTTAGCTGTCGATTTACGCAGCAACATGCGGAAGCCATGACGTGTCGGCGAGGTGGCCGAGTGCTTAAGACGATGGACATCTAATCCATTGGGCTGTGCCCACGTGGGTTCGAGTGCCACCCTCTTCGTTCAATTTGCCTCTATTTTGATAGTCGGTACGTATTGCGAGGTGGCCGATATTTTACGAGGAGATCAATGATCTTCCTTCATCTGCCCGTCACTTAGCTGTCCATTTACGCAGCAACATGCGAGAGCCATGAAGGGTCGGCGAGGTGGCCGAGTGGTTATGGCGATGGACTGCTGATCCATTGCGCTCTGCCTCCGTGGGTTCGAGTCCAACCCTCGTCGTTCATTTTGCCTCATTTTTGATAGTTGGTACGTATTACGAGGTGGCATTATATTACGAGGCAATCAAGATCTTCCTTCATCTGCTCATCACTTAGCTGTCCATTTACGCAGCAACATGCGAAAGCAATGACGTGTCGGCGAGGTGGCCGAGTGGTTAAGGCGATGGACTGCTAATACATTGGGCTGTGCCCACGTGGGTTCGAGTCCCGCCCTCGTCGTTCATTTAGCCTCATTTTTGATAGTCGGTACGTATTACGAGGTGGGCATTATTTTACGAAGCATACGATGATGTTACTTCATCTGCCCATCACTTAGCTGTCTATTTACGCAGCAACATGCGGGAGCTATGACGTGTCGGCGAGGTGACCGAGTGGTTAAGGCGATGGACTGCTAATCTATTGAGCTGTGCCGCATGGGTTCGAGTCCCAACATCGTCAATTGTTTCAGCTAACTTTTTATAGTCGGAAATTATTGAGAGGGGATCATTATTTTGTGAGGAAATCAATAATGTTCCTTCATCTTCCCATCACTTAGGCGTCTATTTACGCAGCAACATGCGTAAACGATTACGCATTGGCGAAATGGCTGAGTGTATAAGGCGATGGACTGCTAATCCATTGTGCTGTGCCCGTCTGGGTTCGAGTCCCATCCTCGTCGATCAATTCGCCTAATTTTTATAGTCGAAACAGATTGTGAGTTGGCCATTATTTTACGAGGAAATCAATAATGTTCCTTCTTCTGCCCATCACTTAGGTGTCTATTTACGCAGCAACATACGGAACTTATCACGCGTTGGCGAGGTAGCCGAGTGTTTAAAGAGATGCACTGCTAATTTATATGGCTGTCCCCAGGTGGGTTCGAGTCCCACCCTCTTCGATAATGTTGCCTCATTTTTGATAGTTGGTACGTATTGCGAAGTGACGATTATTTTAAGAGGAAATCAATGATCTTCCTTCATCTGCCCATCACTTAGCTGTGTATTTACGCCGCAACATGGAGAAGCCATGACGTGTCGGCGAGGTGGCCGAGTGGTTAAGGCGATGGACTGCTAATCCATTGTGCTGTGCCTGTTTGGGTTCGAGTCCCACCCTCGTCGATCATTTGGCCTAATTTTTTATAGTCGAAACGGATTGTGAGTTGGCCATAATTTTACGAGGAAATCAATGATGTTCCTTTTTCTGCCCATCACATAGGTGTCTATTTACGCAGCAACATGCGGCACTTATCACGCGTTGGCGAGGTAGCCGAGTGGTTAAGGCGATGAACTGCTAATACATTGGACTATGCCCGCATGGTTTCGAGCCCAACCCTCGTCGATCATTTTGCCTCATTTTTGATAGTCGGAACGTATTCCGAGGTGGGCATTATTTTACGAGGCAATCAATGATGTTACTTCATCTGCCCATCACTTAGCTGTCTATTTACGCAGCAACATGCAGGAGCCATGACGTGTCGGCGAGGTGGCCGAGTAGTTAAGTCGATGGACTGCTTATCTATTGAGCTGTGCCCGCGTGGTTTCGAGTCCCACCCTCCGCGATCATTTTGCCCAATTAATATAGTCGGAACGTATCGCGAGGTGGCCATTATTTAACTAGCAAGCAATGATGTTCCTTCATGTGCCCATAACTTAGCAGTCTATTTACGCAGCAATATGCGGGAGCCATGATGTGTCGGCGAGGTGGCCGAGTGATTATTAGGGCGATGGAGTGCTAATTCAATGGGCTGTGCCCGCATGGGTTGGAGTCCCACCCTGGGCGATCATTTTGCCTCTTTTTCGATAGTCGGAACCTATTCCGAAGTGGCCATTTTTTACGAGGCAATCAGTGATGTTCGTTTATCTGCCCATCACTGAGGTGTCTATTTACGCAGCAACATGCGCGAGTCATGACGCGTCGGCGAGGTGGCCGAGTGTTTAAGGCGATACACTGGTTATCCATTGGACTGTGCCCACGTGGGTTCGAAACCCACCCTAGTCAATCATTTTGCCTCATTTTTTACAGTCGGAACGTACTGCAAGGTGGTAATTATTTTACGAGGAAATCGATGATGTTCCTTCATCTGCCCATCAATTAAGTGTCTTTTTTGGCAGCAACATGCGAGAGTGATGACGCGTAGGCAAGGTGGCCGAGTAGTTATGGCGATAGACTGCTAATCCATTGGGCTGTGACCGATTGGATTTGAGTCCCACCCTCGTCGACCATTTTGCCTAATTTTTTATAGCCGGAACACATTGCGAGGTGGCCATTATTTCACGAGGAAATCAATGATGTTCCTTCATCTTCCCATCACTTAGGTGTCTATTTTGGCAGCAACATGCGAAACTTATCACGCATCGGCGAGGTCGCCGAGTGGTTAAGACGATGGACTGCTAATTTATTGGGCTGTCCCAAGGTGCTTTCGAGTCCCACCCTCTTCGATAATGTTGCCTCATTTTCGATAGTCGGTACGTATTGCGAGGTGACCATTATTTTAGGAGGAAATCAGTAATCTTCCTTCATCTGCCCATCACTTAGCTGTCTATTTACGCAGCAACATCCGGAAGCCACGACGTGTCGGCGAGGTGGCCGAGTGCTTAAGGCGATGGACTGCTAATCCATTGGGCTGTGCCCACGTGGGTTCGAGTCCCACCCTCGTCTCCATTTTGCCTCATTTTTGATAGTCGGTACGTATTGCGAGGTGGCCATAATTTTACGAGGAGATCAATGATATTCCTTCATCTGCCCGTCACTTAGCTGTCTATTTACGCAGCAACATGTGAGAGCCATGACGGGTCGGCGAGGTGGCCGAGTGCTTAAGGCGATGGACTGCTGATCCATTGGGCTCTGCCCCCTTTGGTTCGAGTCCAACCCTCGTCGTTCATTTTGCCTCATTTTTGATAGTCGGTACGTATTACGAGGTGGACATTATTTTACGAGACAATCAAGATCTTCGCCCCGCCGCAGTGGTCAAGTGGCTAAGGTACTCGGCTGCTGACCCGCAGGTCGCGGGTTCGATTCCCGGCTGCGGCGGCTGCATTTCCGATGGAGGCGGAAATGTTAGAGGCCCGTGTACTCAGATTTGGGTGCACCTTAAAGAACCCCAGGTGGTCAAAATTTCCGGAGCCCTCCACTACGGCGTCTCTCATAATCAAATGGTGGTTTTGGGACGTTAAACCCCACAAATCAATCAACAATCAAGATCTTCCTTCATCTGCTCATCACTTAGCTGTCTATTTACGCAGCAACATGCTGGAGCCATGATGTGTCGGCGAGGTGGCCGAGTGTTTATTACGGCGATGGAGTGCTAATCCATTGGGTTGTGCCCGCGTGGGTTTGAATCCCACCCTCGTCGATCATTTTGCCTCATTTTTGATAGTCGGAACGTATTGCGAGGTGGCCAATATTTTACGAAGAGATCAATGGTCTTCTTTCATCTGCCCGTCACTTAGCTGTCCATTTACGCAGGAACATGCGAGAGCCATGACGGGTCGGTGAGGTCGCCGAGTGGTTAAGGCGATGGACTGCTAATCCATTGGGCTGTGCCCACGTGGGTTCGAGTGCCACCCTCGTCGTTCATTTTGCCTCATTTTTGATAGTCGGTACATATTACGAGGTGGCCTTTATTTTACGAGGAGATCAACGATCTTCCTTCATCTGCCCATCACTTAGCTGTCTATTTACGCAGCAACATGCGAGAGCCATGACGTGTCCGTGAGGTGGCCGAGTGGTTAAGGCGATCGACTGCTAATCCATTGGGCTGTGCCCGCGTGGGTTCGAGTCCCACCCTCGTCGATCACTTTGCCTCATTTTTGATAGTCGGAACGTATTACGAGGTGGCCATTATTTTACGAGGCAATCAATGATGTTCCTTCATCTGCCCATCACTTAGGGGTATATTTACGCAGCAACATGTTCGGTCCATGACGTGTCGGCAACGAGACCGAGTGGTTAAGGCGATAAACTGCTAATTCTTTGGGCTGTGCCCGCATGGGTTGGAGTCCCACCCTCGTCGATCATTTTGCCTCATTTTCAATAGTCGGAACGTATACCGATGTGGCCATTTTTTACGAGACAAACAATGATGTTCGTTTATCTGCCCATCACTGAGGTGTCTATTTACGCAGCAACATGCGGAACTTATCACGCGTTGGCGATGTAGCCGAGTGTTTAAGGTGAAGGACTGCTAAGTTGTTGGGCTGTCCCCAGGTGGGTTCGAGTCCCACCCTCTTCGATAATTTTGCCTCATTTTTGATAGTCGGTACGTATTGCGAAGTGACGATTATTTTAAGAGGAAATCAATTATCTTCCTTCTTCTAACCATCACTTAGCTGTCTATTTACGCCGCAACATGCGGAAGCCATGACGTGTCGGCGAGGTGGTTAAGGCGATGGACTGCTAATCCATTGGGCTGTGCCCACGTGGGTTCGAGTGCCACCCTCTTTGTTCAATTTGCCTCTATTTTGATAGTCGGTACGTACTGCAAGGTGGTCAATATTTTATGAGGAAATCCATGATGTTCCTTCATCTGCCCATTACTTAGGTGTCTATTTTGGCAGCAACATGCGGGACTCATGACGCGAAGGCGAGGTGGCCGAGTGGTTGAGGCGATAGACTGCTAATCCATTATGCTGAGACCGAATGCGTTTGCGTCCCACCCTCGTCGACCATTTCGCCTAACGTTTTGATATTCAGAACATATTGTGAGGTGGGTATTATTTTAAGAGGCAATCAATGATGTTTCTTCATCTGCCCATCACTTATCTGTCTATTTAGGCAGCAACATGCGGAAGATGTGACGTGTCGGCGAGGTGGCCGGGTGGTTAAGGTGATGGACTGCTAATCCATTTGGCTGTGCCCGCGTGTGTTCGAGTTCACCCTCCGCGATCATTTTGCCTAAATTTTATAGTCGGAACGTATCGCGAGGTGGCCATTATTTTACAAGGCAATCAATGATCTTCCTTCATCTGCCCATCACTTAGGTGTCTATTTATATAGCAATATGTGGGAGCCATGACGTGTCGGCGACGTGGCCGAGTGGTTAAGGCGATGGACTGCTAATCCATTTGGCTGTGCCCGTATGGATTCGAGCCCCACCCTCGTCGATTATTTTGCCTAACTTTTTATAGTCGAAATGTATTGCTAGGTGGCCATTATTTTATGAGGAAATCAAGGATGTTCCTTCATCTGCCCATCATTTAGGTGTCTATTTATGCGGCAACATGCGAGAGCGGTTACGCGTCGGCGAGGTGGCCGAGTGGTTAATGCGATGGACTGCTAATCTATTGGGCTGTGCCTACGTGGGTTCGAGTCCCACCCTCGTCAATAATTTTGCTTCATTTTTGATAGTCGGAAGGTATTGCTAGGTGGTCATTATTTTACGAGGCAATCAATGATCTTCCTTCATCTGCCAATCATTTACCTCTCTATTAACGCAGCAACATGCGGGAGCCATTGCGCCTGGGCGAGGTGGCCGAGTGGTTAAGGCGATGGACTGCTAATTCATTGGGCTGTGCCCACGTGGGTTCGAGTCCCACCCTCGTTGACCATTTTGCCTAATTTTTTATAGTCGGCATGTAGTGCGAGGTGGCCATTATTTTACGAGGAAATCAATGGTGTTCCTTCATCTGCCCATCATTTGGGTGTCTATTTACGCAGCAATATGCGAGAGTCATGACACGTCTGCGACGTGTCCGAGGGGTTAAGGCGATGGACTGGTAATCCATTGGACTGTGCCCACGTTGGTTCGAGTCCCACCCTCGTCAAGCATTTTGCCTCATTTTTGATAGTCGGAACGTATTGCGATGTGACCAGTATTTTACGAGCCAATCAATAATGTTCCTCAATCTGCCCATCACTTAACTGTCTATTTACGCAGCAACATGTGGGAGCCATGGCGTGTCGTCGAGGGGGCCGAGTGGTTAAGGCGATGGACTGCTAATTCATTGGGCTGTGCCCGCATGGGTTGGAGTCCCACCCTCGTCGATCATTTTGCCTCATTTTTGATAGTTGGTACGTATTACGAGGTGGCCATTATTTTACGAGGCAATCAAGATCTTCCTTCATCTGGTCATCAATTAGCTGTCCATTTACGCAGCAACATGCGGGAGCCATGACGTGTCGGCCAGGTGGCCGAGTGGTTAAGGCGATGGACTGCTAATCCATTGTGCTGTGCCTGTCTGGGTTCGAGTCCCACCCTCGTCGACCATATTGCCTAATTTTTTTTAGCCGGAACGTATTGCGAGGTGGCCATTATTTCACAAGGAAATCAATGATGTTCCTTCATCTTCCCATCACTTAGGTGTCTAGTTACGCAGCAACATGCGGGAGCGATTACGCGTCGGCGAGGTGGCCGAGTGGTTAAGGCGATGGACTGCTAATCCATTTGGCTGCGCCCGTATGGGTTCGAGTCCCACCCTCGTCGATCATTTGGCATTATTTTTTATTTTCAAAACGGATTGTGAGGTGGCCATAATTTTACAAGGAAATCAATGATGTTCCTTCTTCTGCCCATCACTTAGGTGTCTATTTACGCAGCAACATGCGGAACTTACCACGCATTAGCGAGGTAGCCGAGTGGTTAAGGCGATGGACTGCTAACTTATTGGGCTGTCCCAAGGTGGGTTCGAGTCCCACCCTCTTCCATAATGTTGCCTCATTTTCGATAGTCGGTACGTATTGCATGGTGACCATTATTTCAAGAGGAAATCAATATTCTTTCTTCATCTGACCATTACTTAGCTGTCGATTTACGCAGCAACAAGCGGAAGCCATGACGTGTCGGCGAGGTGGCCGAGTGCTTAAGACGATGGACATCTAATCCATTGGGATGTGCCCACGTGGGTTCGAGTCCCACCCTCGTCGTTCATTTTGCCTCATTTTTGATAGTCGGTACGTATTGCGAGGTGGCCATTATTTTACGAGGAGATCAAATATATTCCTTCATCTGCCTGTCACTTAGCTGTCTATTTACGCAGCAACATGTGAGAGCCATGACGGGTCGGCGAGGAGGCCGAGTGGTTAAGGCGATGGACTGCTGATCCATTGGGCTCTGCCCCCTTTGGTTCGAGTCCAACCCTCGTCGTTCATTTTGCCTCATTTTTGATAGTCGGTACGTATTACGAGGTGGACGTTATTTTACGAGAAAATCAAGATCTTCCTTCATCTGCTCATCACTTAGCTGTCCATTTACGCAGCAACATGCGGGAGCCATGACGTGTCGGCGAGGTGGCTGAGTGGTTAAGGCGATGGATTGCTAATCTATTGGGCTGTGCCCACGTGGGTTCGAGTCCCACGCTCGTCGTTCATTTTGCCTCATTTTTGATAGTCGGTACGTATCGCGAGGTGGCCATTATTTAACCAGACACTCAATGATGTTCCTTCATGTGCCCATCACTTAGCAGTCTATTTACGCAGCAAGATGCGGGAGCCATGATGTGTCGGCGAGGTGGCCGAGTGTTCATTAGGGCGATGGAGTGCTAATCCATTGGGCTGTGCCCCCGTGGGTTTGAATCCCACCCTCGTCGATCATTTTGTCTCATTTTTGATAGTCGGAACGTATCGCGAGGTGGCCATTATTTTACAAGGCAATCAATGATGTTCCTTCATCTGCCCATCACTTAGGTGTCTATTTACATAGCAATATGTGGGAGCCATGACGTGTCGGCGACGTGGCCGAGTGGTTAAGGCGATGGACTGCTAATCCATTTGGCTGTGCCCGTATGGATTCGAGCCCCACCCTCGTCGATTATTTTGCCTAACCTTTTATAGTCGGAATGTATTGCGAGGTGGCCATTATTTTATGAGGCAATCAATGATCTTCCTTCATCTGCCAATCATTTACCTGTCTATTAACGCAGCAACATGCGGGAGCCATCACGCCTGGGCGAGGAGGCCGAGTGGTTAAGGCGATGGACTGCTAATCTATTGGGCTGTGCTTACGTGGGTTCGAGTCCCACCCTCGTCAATTGTTTTGCTTCATTTTTGATAGTCGGAAGGTATTGCTAGGTGGTCATTATTTTACGAGGCAATCAATGATCTTCCTTCATCTGCCAATCATTTACCTGTCTATTAACGCAGCAAAATGCGGGAGCCATTACGCCTGGGCGAGGTGGCCGAGTGGTTAAGGCGATGGACTGCTAATTTATTGGGCTTTGCCCACGTGGGTTCGAGTCCCACCCTCGTTGACCATTTTGCCTGATTTTTATAGTCGGGACGTACGGCAAGGTGGTAATTATTTTTCGAGGAAATCGATGATGTTCCGTCATCTTCCCATCACTTAGGTATCTATTTACGCAGCAACATGCGGGAGCCATGACGTGTCGGCAACGTGGCCGAGTGGTTAAGGCGATAAACTGCTAATTCATTGGGCTGTGCCCGCATGGGTTGGAGTCCCACCCTCGTCGATCATTTTGCCTCATTTTCAATAGTCGGAACGTATACCGATGTGGCCATTTTTTACGAGACAATCAATGATGTTCGTTTATCTGCCCATCACTGAGGTGTCTATTTACGCAGCAACATGCGCGAGTCATGACGCGTCGGCGAGGTGGCCGAGTGGTTAAGGCGATACACTGCAAATCCATTGGACTGTGTCTACCTGGGATCGAGTCCCACCCTCGTCAATCATTTTGCCTAAATTTTTGATTGTCAGAATCTATTGCGAGGGGGCCATTATTTTACGAGGAAATCAATGATCTTCCTTCATCTGCCCATCACTTAGCTGTCTGTTTACGCAGAACATGTGGGAGCCATGACGTGTCGGCGAAGTGCCCGTGTGGTTATTGCGATAAACTGCTAATTCATTGGGCTGTGCCGCATGGGTTCGAGTCTCACCATCGTCAATTGTTTTGTCTAACTTTTTATAGTAGAACATATTGCGAGGGGGCCATTATTTTGTGAGGAAATCAATGATGTTTCTTCATCTGCCCATCACTTAGGCGTCTATTTACGCCGCAACAGGGGGGAACGATTACGCGTCGGCGAGGTAGCCGAGTGGTTAAGGCATGAACTGCTAATCCATTGTGCTGTGCCCATCTGGGTTCAAGTCCCACCCTCGTCGAACATTTGGCCTTATTTTTTATAGTCGAAACGGATTGTGAGTTGGCCATTATTTTTACGAGGAAATCAATGGTGTTCCTTCTTCTGCCCAACACTTTGGTGTCTATTTACGCAGCAACATGCGGAACTTATCACGCGTTGGCGAGGTAGCCGAGTGCTTAAGGTGAAGGACTTCTAATTTATTGGGCTGTCCCCAGGTGGGTTCGAGTCCCACCCTCTTCGATAATTTTGCCTCATTTTTGATAGTCGGTACGTATTGCGAAGTGACGATGATTTTACGAGGAAATCAATTATCTTCCTTCATCTGACCATCACTTAGCTATCTATTTACGCCGCAACATGCGGAAGCCATGACGTGTCGGCGAGGTGGCCGAGTGGTTAAGGCGATGGACTGCTAATCCATTGGGCTGTGCCCTCGTGGGTTCGAGTGCCACCCTCTTTGTTCAATTTGCCTCTATTTTGATAGTCGGTACGTATTGCGAGGTGGCCATTATTTTACGAAGAAATCAATAATCTTCCTTCATCTGCCCGTCACATAGCTGTCTATTTACGCAGCAACATGCGAGAGCCATGGCGGGTCGGCGAGGTGGCCGAATGGTTAAGGCGATGGACTACTGATCCTTTGGGCTGTTCCCACGTGGTATCGAGTCCCACCCTCGTCGTTCATTTTGCCTCATTTTGATAGTCGGTACGTATTACGAGGTGGCCATTATTTTACGAGGCAATCAAGATCTTCTTTCATCTGCCCATCACTTAGCTGTCTATTTACGCAGCAATATGCGAGAGCCATGATATGTCGGCGAGGTGGCCGAGTGGTTAAGGCGATGGACTGCTAATCCATTGCGCTGTGCCCGCGTGGGTTCGAGTCCCACCCTCGCCGATCACTTTGCCTCATTTTTGATAGTCAGAACGTATTGCGATGTGGCCATTTTTTACGAGGCAAACAATGATGTTCGTTCATCTGCCCATCACTGAGGTGTCTATTTACGCAGCAACATGCGGTAGCTATGACGCGTCGGCGAGGTGGCTGAGTGGTTAAGGCGATGAACTGCTAATCCAATTGGCTGTGCCCGCATGGTTTCGAGCCCCACTCTCGTCGATAATTTTGCCTCTTTTTTGATAGTCGGAACGTATTACGAGGTGGGCAATATTTTACGAGGCAGTCAATGATGTTACTACATCTGCCCATCACTTAGCTGTCTATTTACGCAGCAACATGCAGCAGCCATGACGTGTCGGTGAGGTGGCCGAGCGGTAGAGCGATGGACTGCTTTACTATTGAGCTGTGCCCGCGTGGTTTCAGTCCCACCCTCTGCGATATTTGCCTAATTTTATTGTCGGAACCGTATCGCGAGGTGGCCATTAATTTCGGCAGGCAATCAATGATGTTCCTTCATGTGCCCATCACTTAGCAGTCTATTTACGCAGCAACATGCGGGAACCATGATGTGTCGGCGAGGTGGCCGAGTTGTTATTAGGCGATGGACTGCTAATCCATTGGGCTGTGCCAACGTGGTACGATTCCCATCCTCGTCGTTTATTTTGCCCTCATTTTGATAGTCGGTACGCATTACGAGGTGGCCATTGCTTTACGAGGCAATCAAGATCTTCTTTCATCTGCCCATCACTTAGCTGTCTATTTACGCAGCAACATGCGGGAGCCATGACGTGTCCGCGAGGTGGCCGAGTGGTTAAGGCGATCGACTGCTAATCCATTGGGCTGTGCCCGCGTGGGTTCGAGTCCCACCCTCGTCGATCATTTTTCCTCATTTTGAAAGTCGGAACCACATTGCGATGTGGCCATATTTTACGAGGCAATCAATGATGTTCGTTCACCTGCCCATCACTGAGGTGTCTATTTACGCAGCAACAAGCGGGAGCCATGACGTGTCAGCGACGTGGCCGAGTGGTTAAGGCGATGAACTGCTAATCCAATTGGCTGTGCCCGCATGGTTTCGAGCCCCACTCTCGTCGATCATTTTCCCTCTTTTTTGATAGTCGGAACGTATTACGAGGTGGGCAATATTTTACGAGGCAATCAATGATGTTTCCACATCTGCCCATGTACTTAGCTGTCTATTTACGCAGCAACATGCGCGAGTCCATGACGCGTCAGCGAGGTGTGGACGGCTAGGTTTAAGGCGATAGCACTTGCTTCATCCATGGTACTGTCCCACGTGGGTTCGAGTCCCACCCTATTCAATCATTTTGCCTCATTTTTTACAGTCGGTACGTATTGCGAGGTGGCCATTATTTTACGAAGAAAATCAATAATCTTCCTTCATCTGCCCGTCACATAGGTCTATTTACGCAGCAACATGCGAGAGCCATGGCGGGTCGGCGAGGTGGCCGAATGGTTAAGGCGATGGACTACTGATCCTTTGGGCTGTTCCCACGTGGTATCGAGTCCCACCCTCGTCGTTCATTTTGCCTCATTTTGATAGTCGGTACGTATTACGAGGTGGCCATTATTTTACGAGGCAATCAAGATCTTCTTTCATCTGCCCATCACTTAGCTGTCTATTTACGCAGCAATATGCGAGAGCCATGATATGTCGGCGAGGTGGCCGAGTGGTTAAGGCGATGGACTGCTAATCCATTGCGCTGTGCCCGCGTGGGTTCGAGTCCCACCCTCGCCGATCACTTTGCCTCATTTTTGATAGTCAGAACGTATTGCGATGTGGCCATTTTTTACGAGGCAAACAATGATGTTCGTTCATCTGCCATCACTGAGGTGTCTATTTACGCAGCAACATGCGGTAGCTATGACGCGTCGGCGAGGTGGCTGAGTGGTAGGCGATGAACTGCTAATCCAATTGGCTGTGCCCGCATGGTTTCGAGCCCCACTCTCGTCGATAATTTTGCCTCTTTTTTGATAGTCGGAACGTATTACGAGGTGGGCAATATTTTACGAGGCAGTCAATGATGTTACTACATCTGCCCATCACTTAGCTGTCTATTTACGCAGCAACATGCAGCAGCCATGACGTGTCGGTGAGGTGGCCGAGCGGTATAGGCGATGGACTGCTTATCTATTGAGCTGTGCCCGCGTGGTTTCAAGTCCCACCCTCTGCGATTATTTTGCCTAATTTTTATTGTCGGAACGTATCGCGAGGTGGCCATTATTTCGGCAGGCAATCAATGATGTTCCTTCCTGTGCCCATCACTTAGCAGTCTATTTACGCAGCAACATGCGGGAACCATGATGTGTCGGCGAGGTGGCCGAGTTGTTATTAAGGCGATGGACTGCTAATCCATTGGGCTGTGCCCACGTGGTACGATTCCCATCCTCGTCGTTTATTTTGCCTCATTTTGATAGTCGGTACGCATTACGAGGTGGCCATTGCTTTACGAGGCAATCAAGATCTTCTTTCATCTGCCCATCACTTAGCTGTCTATTTACGCAGCAACATGCGGGAGCCATGACGTGTCCGCGAGGTGGCCGAGTGGTTAAGGCGATCGACTGCTAATCCATTGGGCTGTGCCCGCGTGGGTTCGAGTCCCACCCTCGTCGATCATTTTTCCTCATTTTGAAAGTCGGAACACATTGCGATGTGGCCATATTTTACGAGGCAATCAATGATGTTCGTTCACCTGCCCATCACTGAGGTGTCTATTTACGCAGCAACAAGCGGGAGCCATGACGTGTCGGCGACGTGGCCGAGTGGTTATGGCGATGGACTGCTAATTCATTGGGCTGTGCCCACGTGGTACGATTCCCATCCTCGTCGTTTATTTTGCCTCATTTTTGATAGTCGGTACGCATTACGAGGTGGCCATTGCTTTACGAGGCAATCAAGATCTTCTTTCATCTGCCATCACTTAGCTGTCTATTTACGCAGCAACATGCGGGAGCCATGACGTGTCGGCGAGGTGGCCGAGTGGTTAAGGCGATGGACTGCTAATCCATTGGGCTGTGCCCGCGTGGGTTCGAGTCCCACCCTCGTCGATCATTTTTCCTCATTTTGAAAGTCGGAACACATTGCGATGTGGCCATATTTTACGAGGCAATCAATGATGTTCGTTCACCTGCCCATCACTGAGGTGTCTATTTACGCAGCAACAAGCGGGAGCCATGACGTGTCAGCGACGTGGCCGAGTGGTTAAGGCGATGAACTGCTAATCCAATTGGCTGTGCCCGCATGGTTTCGAGCCCCACTCTCGTCGATCATTTTCCCTCTTTTTTGATAGTCGGAACGTATTACGAGGTGGGCAATATTTTACGAGGCAATCAATGATGTTTCCACATCTGCCCATGACTTAGCTGTCTATTTACGCAGCAACATGCGCGAGTCATGACGCGTCAGCGAGGTGGCCGAGTGTTTAAGGCGATACACTGCTAATCCATTGGACTGTGCCCACGTGGGTTCGAGTCCCACCCTATTCAATCATTTTGCCTCATTTTTTACAGTCGGAACGTACTGCAAGGTCGTCATTATTTTACGAGGAAATCGATGATGTTCCTTCATCTGCCCATCACTTAGGTGTCTATTTTGGCAGCAACATGCGGGAGTGATGACGCTTGGGCGAGGTGGCCGAGTGGTTAAGGCGATAGACTGCTAATCCATTGGGCTGTGACCGAGTGGGTTTGAGTCCCACCCTCGTCGACCATTTTGCCTAATTTTTTGTAGCCGGAACGTATTGCGAGGTGGCCATTATTTCATGAGGAAATCAATGATGTTTCTTCATCTTCCCATCACTTAGATGTCTATTTACGCAGCAACATGCGGAAGCGATTACGCGTCGGCGAGGTGGCCGAGTGGTTAAGGCGATGGACTGTAATCCATTTGGTTGTGCCCGTATGGGTTTCAGTCCCACCCTCGTCGATCATTTGGCCTAAATTTTTATAGTCAAATCGGATTGTGAGGTGGCCAATTATTTACGAGAAAATCAATGATGTTCCTTCTTCTGCCCATCACTTAGGTGTCTATTTACGCAGCAACATGCGGAACTTATCACGCATTGGCGAGGTAGCCGAGTGGTTAAGGCGATAGACTGCTAATTTATTTGGCTGTCCCCAGGTGGGATCGAGTCCTACCCTCTTCGATAATGTTGCCTCATTTTCGATAGTCGTTACGTATTGCGAGGTGACCATTATTTTAAGAGGAAATCAATAATCTTCCTTCACCTGCCCAACACTTAGCTGTCTATTTACGCAGCAACAAGCGGAAGCCATGACGTGTCGGCGAGGTGGCCGAGTGCTTAAGGCGATGGACTGCTAATCCATTGGGCTGTGCCCACGTGGGTTCGAGTCCCACCCTCGTCGTTCATTTTGCCTCATTTTTGATAGTCGGTACGTATTGTGAGGTGGCTATTATTTTACGAGGAGATCAATGATCCTCTTTCATCTGCCCGTCACTTAGCTGTCTATTTACGCAGAAACATGCGATAGCCATGACGGGTCGGCGAGGTGGCCGAGTGGTTGAGGCGATGGACTGCTAATCCGTTGGGCTGTGCCCACGTGGGTTCGAGTGCCACCCTCGTCGTTCTTTTTCCCTCTTTTTTGATAGTCGGTACGTATTACCAGGTGGCCATTATTTTACGAGGCAATCAAGATCTTGCTTCATCTGCCCATCACTTAGCTGTCTATCTACGCAGCAACATGCGGGAGCCATGACGTGTCGGCGAGGTGGCCGAGTGGTTAAGGCGATGGACTGCTAATCCATTGGGCTGTGCCCACGTGGGTTCGATGGCCACCCTCGTCGTTCTTTTTTCCTCTTTTTTGATAGTCGGTACGTATTACGAGGTGGCTATTATTTTACGAGGCAATCAAGATCTTGCTTCATCTGCCATCACTTAGCTGTCTATTTACGCAGCAACATGCTGGAGCCATGACGTGTCGGCGAGGTGACCGAGGGGTTAAGGCGATGGACTGCTAATCTATTGAGTTGTGCGCGCGTGGTTTCGAGTCCCACCCTCCGTGATCATTTTGCCTAATTTTTATAGTCGGAAGTTATTGCGACGTGGTCATTAATTAACCAGGCATTCAATGATGTTCCTTTATGTGCCCATCACTTAGCAGTCTATTTACGCAGCAACATGCGGTAGCCATGATGTGTCGGAGAGGTGGCCGAGCGTTTATTAGGGCGATGAAGTGCTAATCCATTGGGCTGTGCCCGCGTGGGTTTGAATCCCACCCTCGTCGATCATTTTGATTGATTTTTTTGATAGTCGGAACGTATTGCGAGGTGGCCATTTTTTACGAGGCAATCAGTGATGTTCGTTTGTCTGCCCATCACTGAGGTGTCTATTTTGGCAGCAACATGCGGGAGTCATGACGCGTAGTCGAGGTGGCCGAGTGGTTAAGGCGAGAGACTGCTAATTCATTGGACTGTGACCAAGTGGGTTTGAGTCCCACCCTCGTGGACGATTTTGCCTAATTTTTTAAACCGGAACGTATTGCGAGGGGGCCAATATTTTATAAGGAAATCAATGATGTTCCTTCATCTTCCCATCAATTAGGTGTCTATTTACGCAGCAACATGCGGGAACGATTACGTGTCGACGAGGTGGCCGAGTGGTTAAGGCGATGGACTGCTAAACCATTGGCTGTGCCCGTATGGGTTCGAGTCCAACCCTCGTCGATCATTTGGCGTAATTGTTTTTAGTCGAAACGGATTCTGAGGTGGCCATTATTTTACGACGAAATCAATGATGTTCCTTATTCTGCCCATCACTTAGGTGTCTATTTACGCAGCAACATGCAGAACTCACGACGCGTAGGCGAGGTAGCCGAGTGGTTAAGGCGATGGACTGCTAATCCATTGAGCTGTGCGCGCGTGGGTTCGAGTTCCACCCTCGTCGTTCATTTTGCCTCATTTTCGATAGTCGGTACGTATTGTGAGGTAGCCAATATTTTACTAGGAGATCAGTGATCTTTCATCTGCCCGTCACTTAGCTGTCAATATATGCAGCAACATGCGAGAGCCAAGACGGGTCGGCGAGGTGGCCGAGTGGTTATGGCGATGGACTGCTGATCCATTGCGCTCTGCCTCCGTGGGTTCGAGTCCAACCCTCGTCGTTCATTTTGCCTCATTTTTGATAGTTGGTACGTATTACGAGGTGGCATTATATTACGAGGAGATCAATGATCTTTCATCTGCCCATCACTTAGGTGTCTATTTACGCAGCAACATGCGGGAGCCATGACGTGTCGGCGAGGTGACCGAGTGGTTAAGGCGATGGACCGCTAATCCATTGGGCTGTGCCCACGTGGGTTCGAGTCCCACCCTCGTCGTTCATTTTGCCTCATTTTTGATAGTCGGTACGTATTGTGAGGTGGCCATTATTTTACTAGGAGATCAATGATCTTTCTTCTGCCCATCACTTAGGTGTCTATTTACGCAGCAACATGCGGGAGCCATGACGTGTTGGCGAGGTGGCCGAGTGGTTAAGGCGAAGGACGGCTAATTTATTGGGCTTTGCCCGCGTGGTTTCGAGTCCCGCGCTCCGCGATCATTTTGCCTATTTTTTATAGTCGGAACGTATCGCGAGGTGGCCATCATTTTACGAGGCAATCAATGATGTTCCTTCGCTGCCCATCACTTAGGTGTCTACGCAGCAACATGTGGGAGCCATGATGTGTCGGTGATGGGGTCGAGTGGTTATTAAGGCGATGGAGTGCTAATCCATTGGGCTGTGCCCGCGTGGGTTTGAATCCCACCCTCGTCTATGATTTTGCCTCATTTTTGATAGTCGTAACGTATTGCGAGGTGGCCATTATTTTACGAGGCAATCAATGATGGTCCTTCATCTGCCCATCACTTAGCTGCTATTCACGCAGCAACAAGCGAGAGCCATGACGTGTCGGCGAGGTGGCCATTTTGTCCGCGACAGCGTACGGACGTGTTATCATGTGCTCCAACGGAGCGGCGATTGCGGCCATGCTCGGCCGCGGAAACAGGTCTTCAGCGAAGGAAAATGAATACCAGAGTGTTCTGCCCAGTCTGCCTACAGATCGGTTTGTGTTAAATACATCGTTTTTGCACGCCGACGAAAGCGGTCGGCCCTACAAGTTTGAATATTTTCGTCATGCCCTGTCTCAGCGGTTGTTGGTCCCCGATGTTATCGCCTTGAGGGCGTATCGCGTGAGCCACGTGTGGACCGTCAATTTCAAGAAGGCCGAGTCAATGAAGAAGCTCGCTAACATCGGTGAACAGCAAGTGAAAGGCAAGCGCTGCGTTGTCATCGACCCGGCTAACAGGAACAATCGAATGAAGGCGCACTGGCTCGTTCATAGCGTGCCTGACGAGAACGTTCGACTCACCTTTGCGTCGTTCGGCAAGGTCACCGACATCGTCAGGGAGCCTTGGAGTGCCGAGGGGATAGTGGACAAGGTATCCACAAGATTCGTGACCCTGAAGATGAACGCTGGGGTTAAACTGGATGACCTTTCACACTAGCTAAGTATCGCTGGCGAGCTCGCGCTTGTCGTTGTGCAGGGGAGTGCTCCCCTCTTTCTTCGCTGCCGTGGCACAGGCCATATCCGTCGTGAGTGCCGCGTTCCAAGATGTGGTTTTTGCTGTGTTTTGGTCATGAAGACAGCCAGTGTTAGCGAACGTACGCCAGCGTGACCACACCACGGAGCAGCGAGGACTCAGACGACCTTCTGATCGATGAGGCGGACGTGCAACAGGCGGCGTCTCCGACAGGCGCCAGCCCAGGTGCACCGCCAACGTCGTCTCCGTCTATGCCGAGTCAGCCTGAAAAACTACCTCTCGCTGCGCCCCGAAACGAATAGGAACAGGCACCTACCTCAGTCGCAGTGGCCACGTCGGTGACAAAGGCCACATTATCAAGTCCTATGCCTCAGGCAAGTGTGGATCAACCCGCTGATGGGGCATGGATACAACCCAAAAAACCAGCTAGCAAAGCGCCCGGGAAGCGGCCGCACGACCAGACATCGAGCAGCGAGCCGCACCAGGACAATGGTGGTGGGGACGAGCCACTGACAAAGGCACCCGGGGTGAGGTGATTTCCTCTCAAACCAAGGCCGAACATTCAGGATGAATCACCACGGTGGGCGGCTAACCCACCTCCGTAGTAGCAGCAGCGGTCGATGAAGGGATTGGGAGTGGGGTGGAATGGCGGTGTTGTCTCTTGATTGTTTATTCTTTCTTTTTCTTCTTTTTGTTCTCTGTTCACATGCGTAAGTTTGGAAGCCAGCAGGCTGTTCTTACCACTTGTGTTGCTTGCAGAAATGCTTCCCTATTACCTTGCTTCCTGGCCTTCTTTTCGTTTTTGCTTCAGGGCAGCATGACATTTCCGAAAGCCGGACTGCAGTACGTAGATTATGGTGCCGCTTGGAGAGTTACCTGTAATTTTCTCCGACATGGCTGATAAACTTGAAATTGGATTTCGAGCAGCAAGCCTCAATGTTCGGCTACCGGGTCCTAGAAGGCGACAGTGTCATTTAAACCGTCTGCTACTTGACCAAGACTTGCACTTAGTAGCAGTCCAGGAAACGAAAATAGAGAGCCAGAAAGTGACAGATCGGATGGCATCAAATTTTCGCTCACACTTCGATATGTTTATATGTCACGCGGTCGGTAGCTCGGGTGTTGCGCCCTTTCATTCGCAACAACCTGGGCATGTGTGTTCAAGCTATTGTATCGTGCCAAAGTGGACGCCTCTTGGTCGTCGATTTCTCCCTTTCTGGTTTAAGCTACCGCGCGATTTGTGCATATGCACCAAACCTAGAAACAGAGCGCAAATCCTTTTTTCAGTGCCTCAAAACGCACTTGAATTGCGAAAAAATGTTACTTCTCTTAGGTGATTTCAACTGCGTATGTGCAGCCCAAGACCGGTCCAAGAAGTCTCGAATTCACAATAAGAGTGCCAAGTTTGTATCCGAGATAGTGCACGAAAGTGGCTTAGAAGACTTGGGCAGCGTTTATTCCAGTGGCGCTCGCCAAATGTACACTCATTTTCAACGTGACAGCCACGCTAGGCTGCACAGGATATACATATCAGCTGAGCTTTTCCCTTTGTACACAGCGTACGATGTTAAGCCTGTCTCTTTCGGCGACCACTGTTTAGTGATCACCGGGTTCGGGGAAAGGCACTTGAGAGGCATTTTTATCGGGACCTGTGAAAATTCAATGTTAAGCTGCTTGACGACGAGCAGTTTGTAAGCGTAGTAGCAGCAGAATTGAAGAAACTACTGGCTTTGCCGTCAACTGCTTTCTTAGCCGCTGAATGAGAAGTATTTAAACAGAGAGTCAAAATAATGGCTATGGAAAAAAGTAGCATCCTCAAGTATCAACGGGAGAAAACTTAGCGAACGAATAAAGAGATGTGAAATGTCAACTGGGGGAAATTGAAGCCCAGAAGTACAAAGCGGCTATCATACGTGCTAGAGCCGCCAAACTATGGGTTGGGGAAAGACAAACAAAACGTGCTTTACCGGATGAAAAAATATACGCGTGCAAGAGAGAAATTTGTGAGATAGCTAACGGCGGCGAACTCACATCTAAAAGCGAGACTATCGAGCGCGTCATAGCTGAGCATTTTAGCAACCTGCTACGCCACCAGCGGGACCCCGTAGAAGGCTTCCAAGAGGAATTCCTTCGATCGCTACTGAAGCTGGACGATAACGTCAAAGCACGTTTTGAGTACCCTATCACAGTACGTGAAATCGAAGACACTATCAATGAGCTTACTCCGGGAAAAGCACCAGGGGCCGATGGCCTGGGTGCAGCGTTTTATAAAACCTTCAAGTGATTGGTAGCTCAGATATTGCTCAGAGTTTTCGTCGAAGCGTACGATTTGAAACGGGTACCATTATCTTTCACAACGGCGCACCTCGCACTCATCCCGAAAAGCGACGATACCGTAAAACGCTTGTGCGCCGCATCTCACCGTCCGATAAGCTGGACAAACGTCGATTATAAAATTTCCATGAAGGTTTTAGCGAAAAGACATCAAGGAGTAATAACAAAGCTGATGGGTCAACACCAGACATGCGGTATCAAAGGTCGCAGTATCGCGACAAACTTGCATGTTGTGCGAAGTGTGCTCGAATGCTGTGACGCGCTGAATGAGCATGTGGCGATGATGCAGTATGATCTGGCAAAAACATTCGACCACGTCTCACACCAGATCCTCTTCAGCATATTATAACAAAGTAACATTGGCTATGTCATACTTGAGGGAGTTAGAATGGCGTATAGTAACTGTACTACGCGGATTATAGTTAATGGCGAGCTAACTGACAGCGTTCACGTTCGCTCATCAGTGAGGCAAGGATGCCCATTGTCGCCCTTGTTGTTTGCCATTCACCTTGAGCCCCTCTGTCTCTCCATCACTCCGAGCGAATTTATTACAGGCTTTAGGCTACAGGCGGTACACGTTAAAATATTGGCCTACGCAGACGATATGGCTGTCTTCTGCACAGACAAGGAGAGTATTAAACACGCCATGACTATTGTTGAAAAGTTTTGCGTTTGCACTGGTGCCCAGGTAAACTGGGATAAGAGTTATGGTTTCTGGCATGGAGAGTGGGAGGCGACGCCGGAACATTTCTCTCGTTTGTACTGGTTGACACTCCCAACGCAATACCTCAGAGTTCAACTCGTTAGTTACCGCGATCCTGACGCGTATTGTCTGACCAAGTGCGAAGTGCAACGGAAAAGGCTACAGCATGGCAAGGCAGGCAACTGTCTATTTTGTCTCGGGCCACCGTCTGTAACCTATTTTTTATCGTGATGTTCTGGTACGTGATAAACGTATTATGCGCATCACGGGTGAATATCCAGAGAATTCATCGAGTATTTGCTGTGTTTATTTGGGCGTCCACGTGGGAGCGTACGAGTAGCATGAATTTGTTCCGCCCAGTTAAGCTGGGCGGTCTTGGTTTAGCCCACTTGTTTCTGCGACAACTTGCATCACGTTTTGTGTTCCTGCGGGATCAAAATGACCCTTTTTTCGCACTGTCATCCAAGTGCGACTGCAGGGATTCCTGCCTGGTTTTATCGTGTCGTCAAGTGATAACTTGTGTGCGCCTGTCACCGGTTATCTGCGAGAGGTGATTGTTTTGTATCGGATGCTGTGCGCCCGATTTACTCAAGAATATTCGTGCAGTGTCAGCAAGAAAAAGTTGTATAGGAATCTCGTTGATAGAGTGATTCCAGTGCCTCTGTACTGTTTTCCACACCTCGGAGGTCCAGAACAGGACGTCCTAAAAAGAGTAAAGAAAATGCCGGTACTACCATCTGTTAAGACGTTCTTCTTTATATTCCGCACAAACACACTCCCTGTTAAAACATGGCTACAAGATAAAGGCTTTGTCAAACCCTGGACAACCAATTGTTATTTATGTAAAAAACCCGAAACCATAAAATGTGTATTTCTGGACTGTTGGGACCCCATGTCCTTCTGGGATGTGCTACAGCACACTTTAAAGAAAGAGTTGCCCCTTGACGCATACGGAATACGCTTCTTGCCAGCAAGAACACCGCAGAACATTCCTTACGATTTAATCATGCTCCTTGGCCTCCATGCTTTGTGGAAAACGAAAATGGAATTCGAACATGTTCACCAGGTCGTTCGTCCTGTTTCTGATCATTTCATTGAAAGTGTGGTGCGTCGCACGCTCCCCGACCCACCAGTGTGAATTACTGTGCTCGACGACTTAATGCGCATAAAAAAATTTAAGCTCGTGCGGGCCAAAGTATGGCCCACTCGTTTTACATATGTAACAAGTGACTTCAAATGTGAAAGACGGAAATAAAGAAAAAGATAGGCGAGGTGACCGAGTGGTTCAGCTGATGGACTGCTAATCAACTGGGCTGTGCGCGCGTGGGTTCGAGTCCCACCCTCGTCGACCATTATGCCTAATTTTTGATAGTCGGAACGCATTGCAAGGTGGCCATTATTTTACGAGGCAATCAATGATGTTCCTTCATCTGCCTATCACTTAGGTGTTTATTTATGAAGCAACATGTGGGAGCCATGACGTGTCGGCGAGGTGGCTGAGTGGCTAAGGCGATGGATTGCTAATTTATTGGGCTGCGCCCGCATGGGTTCGAGTCCCACCCTCGTCGATCATATTGCCTAATTTTTATAGTCGGAACGTATTGCGAGGTGGCCATTAGTTTACGGGGCAATCAAGGATGTTCCTTTATCTGCCCATCACTTCGGTGTCTATTTACGCAGAAACTTATGGGAGCCATCACGTGTCGGCGGCGTGGCCGAGTGGTTAAGGCGATGGACTGCAAATCCAATGGGCTGTGCCCGCGTGGGTTCGAGTCCCCCCACCCTCGTCGATCATTTTGCCTAACTTTTTATAGTCGGAACGTATTGCGAGGTAGCCATTGTTTTACGAGGCAATCTGATGTTCCTTCATCTGCTTATCACTTAGCTGTCTATTTACGCAGCTACATGCGGGAGCCATGACGTGTCGGCGATGTGGCCGAGTGGTTAAGGCGATGTACTGCTAATCCATTGGCTGTGCCCGCGTAGGTTCGAGTACCACGCTCGTCGATCATTTTGCCTAATTTTTTTATAGTCAGAACGTATTGTAAGGTGGTCAATATTTTATGATATCAGTAATGTTCGTTCATCTGGCCATCACTTATGTGTCTATTTACGCAGCAACATGCGGGAGCCAAACATGTCGGCGAGGTGGGCGAGTGGGTAAGGCGATGGACTGCTAATTCATTGCTGTGCACGCGTGGGTTTGAGTCCCACATTCATCATTTATTTTGCCTCATTTTTTTATAGTCGGAACGTATTACGAGGTGGCCATCATTTTACGAGGAAATCAATGATGTTCCTTCATCTGCCCACCACTTAGCTGTCTATTTACGTAGCAACATGCGGGAGTTATGACGCGTCGGCGAGGAGGCCGAGTGGTTAAGGCGATGGACTGCTAATCCATTGGGTTGTGCCCGCGTGGGTTGGAGTCCACACTCGTCGACCATTTTGCCTAATTTTTATAGTCGAAAGGTATTGCAAGGTGGTCATTATTTTACGACGTAATCAATGATGTTTTTTCATCTGCCCATCACCTATGTGTCTATTTACGCAGGTTAACTTCCTTGCCTTGTCCCTTTTGTTGCTTCCTCCTCCTACGCAGAAAGAAGTGGAAGCCATGACGTGTCAGCGAGGTGGCCAGCCCCGCCCTAGGGACACATGCAGAGTGTGTTCTTTTGGTTAAGAAACTAAACAATCGTGTTGTATAAAGTGTGTTTTTGTGTATCAAGAAGAGTGGTTTACTGTGATTTTGGTGTGTGTGCAGTGGGTTTTTGAATCATTGGCATATACGCTCCAAATGAAGTGGAAGAGCTTACTTAATTTTTCTCGAGTCTTTTTCAATATATGAGTTCCGACAAAATTGCTTTTTTTCTCAGCGACTTCAGTATTGTTTTGAATGCTCGGGACCTAGTTAACATTGCTGGGTTGCGGGTTAGAAGCAGTAACTTGCTATCAAAGATAATCGGGGAAAACGAACTTGATGATGTCTAGGAATACCTGGAAGTGAACCACGAAGTAACGTACACTCGATTTCAAGACACCAGCCATGCGCGGCTAGACCGCATGTCGCTAGATACAATACCAGTGTGCCACAGTTATTCGGTGGTACTAGTGTCCTTTTCCGATCACTGCTTGGTTTATTCCAAACTGGGCATGATGGATGAGCAAAAGGCTTGCAACTGGGAGCTGTGGAAACTGACTGCTGTGTTACTAAGCCATGAAATCCGTACATTTCATAAAGACATATTTGAAAGTTTTAATAAAACACTGACACCATAGCAAAAATATAAAAAGTCCTAACGCAGAAAGTCAAAATGGCCCCGCCGCGATGGTCTAGTGGCTAAGGCACTCGGCTGCTAACGCGCAGGTCGCGGGATCGAATTCCGGTTGCAGCGGCTGCATTTCCGATGGAGGCGGAAATATCGTAGGCCCGTGTGCTCAGATTTGGGTGCAAGTTAAAGAACCCCATGTGGTCAAAATTTTCGGAGCCCTCCACTACGGCGTTTCTCATAATCATGTGGTGGTTTTAGGACGTTAAACCCCACATATCAATCAATCAAAAAATTCAAAACGAAAGTTTTAGACAGATCAAATTTACTTCAATTCAAGGCACAAATGAAAGAAGCCTACATTTTACGCTGCAGCAGCTAAATATTCTTGAAAGCGAAAATCTGGGGGTGTGTAAACACGACGTGCGAAGTGTAAAAATCAAATATAACAGCATGACAAGGAGCGCTACAAAGGCGCGTTGGTTCGAGCGCGAGTTAAAAATCTAGTGGCAGGAGAGACGCCCACCAAAAGAGCACTAGGGTTAGAAAAAGCGCAAGGACGACAAAACAATATTGATATGGTGTAGGGTAAAGGAAAACTAGCGATCAACAATGAGACTATTGGTCGCGCTTTTTTCGGCCATTATCAGTCACTATTTGCATTTGAAAAGGCGAATGAAGATATTTTTAAAAAAGAGTTTATTGAGCGCTTGCCTCGGCTGAGGAACGAATCGAAGGACTGATTAGAAATAGATATAACAGTAGGCGAAATAGAAAGCGGTATTGATCTACTGAACTTAGGGAAGTTGCCTGGACAAGATGGTCTAACCGCTCTATGGAACAAAAATTTTAAAGTAGAACTTCCCCTTTTGTTGACAGATTTATTTAATCGGGTGTATAAACGTAAAACCATGCCACCTTCGTTTGATAAAGCGCACTTCATGCTAATACGCAAGACAGATGAAAAAGAAAAGTGTAAACTAGTGACATCTTATAGGCTGATATCGCTCACAAACACGTACTATAGCATTTTTATGAAAGATCGCTCAGTTAGGCTTCAAAGCTTCATCAAAAAAATTCCCGGAGACCACCAGACCTGCAGCATAAAAAGGGGACAACTTTTTCAAACATCCACAAGATGAGGTATTATACTAAAATGTTGTGATGCCGCTTTAGCTAGGGTAGCCACCCTCCAAGTAAACCAGGAGAAGGCTTCCGACTGTGTCACGCATAAAATTTTGTTTTCCATCTTAGAACAATAAGGTTGGTTCTATCATCACAGAGGGGGTAGCCTTGGTGTACTAGAAATACACAACACGTCTAATCGTTAATAACACTTTGGGGGCTCCCATTCACGTGATGCATTCTGTGCGTCAAGGCTGCCCGCTCAGTCCACTATTATTTGGTATTTACATAAGAGCTATGTGTGTAACCATTTCCGAGATAGAAAAAATACGTAGGCTCAAGTTGGTGGCGACGCAAGTTAAGCTACTGGCATGTGCGGACGACATTGCGGTATGCTGCACAGACAAGAAAAGTGTACAGGAAGCGATGAACATTGTAAAGCGTTTTTTGGCGTCACGGGTAGCAAAGTGAACTGGGGAAATTCCATCAGGTTGTGGCACGGGAGTTGGCCTTCAACGCCAGAGTATTTTGTCAACGTGAGCTGGATGAACACACCGACCATGTATCTTGGTGTGCCCTTGGATAGTTACAAAAGCAGAGAAGAGTATTAGATGAACCAGGTTAAAGAAGTCAAAGGAAAAGCAGACAGGTGAAAGAGCACAAACCTGTCTATATTGTTGACGGCCAAAGTGTGTAACATGTTTTTCATCACTAAGTTGTGGTAGGTAATGCAGGTGTTACACTGTTCTAGAACAAATTTGCAAAAGCTGCACTGAGTGTTTATGGTGTTCATGTGGAGCTCAACTAAGCAAAGGTGCAGCCGAACCGATTTGTTCCAGAGAGTGAAGGATGAGAAACTGGGCTTAGCGCATATTTTTTTACGACAGCTCGTCAACAGATTTTTTTGTGATGTAAGCGATGCTTTTATGCGCACGGTGTGACAACTGAGGTTAGGCAATGCCCTACCGGAAATTGGCGCTTCTGATAACAGCACGTCGGGGGTGTTGCATAACTGTCTGAAAGAAGTAGTAGACAGTGTGCGGTTTTTATCAGTCCGTGTTTCTTTCGAGCACCTTCTCCGTGCTAAACGAAAAGAACTGTATAGAGCTGTGTGTGATAATGTTCTACCAGTGCCTATGTACAGAGCCATATACAGTGAAGGGCGTGGAGAGAATGTGCTGAAGAGGGTCAGAAATATGCAGGTTCCCACGGGTGGTAAAAAATTTTTCTTTAAATTACACACAGGAACACTACCGGTAAATACCTTCACAGAGAAGCGGGGCTTTTACACACCATGGGGATTACACTGCCTAATACCTAACAAACCCAAAACCACAGACCCCGTTTTTTGCACTGTTAGAAAGGCACATACTTTTGGGACATCTTGCAGCGGAAAATAAAGAAAGACTTCCCATTGAGTTCACATGAAATAAGTTATGTGACTGTAGATAATGAAGAAGGCGTCCCGTTGGATGTGGTAATATTGACAGCCCTCCACTCTATACGGCGCGCTCGCATGGCAGGATACTACTGCAACCCTGATGCTAAGTCAGCGAGAATTCATTTCAGGCAAAGCATCTCTAGCTTTATTGAAAATGTCAAAATTCAGCAATTGATGCCTGAATGGCTCCTGGTGACAGAACCTCTGACATGATTGAAAAAGTTTTAGAATAGACAATATCTGTCCAAATAGGACTGATAGCATGATTTCTTCATTATATATGTATTATCTGATATGTTTTGTTTGTGTTGTATTTTGACCAAAACAGGCAATAAACAAAAGAAGACAGCGAGGTGGCGTACTTGTTAAGGCAATGGACTGCTAATCCATTGGGCTGTGCCCACGTGGGTTCGAGTCCCACTCTCGTCGAACTTTTCGCCTAATTTTTATAGTCGAAACGTATCCCGAAGTGGCCATTCTTCTACCAGGCAATCAATGATTGTTCCTTCATCCGCCCTTCACTTATGTGCCCATTTAGGCAGCAACATTGGGAAGCCACGACGTGTCGGCGAGGTGGCCGAGTGGTTAAGGCAACGGACTGCTAATCCATTGGGCTGTGCGCACACCGCGTGGGGTCGAGTCCCACCCAGGTCGAACTTTGTGCCCAATCCTTTTTTTTTGTTCTTGAAACGTATCTCCACGTCAACCTGAGCCTGGATCATTATTCTATCGG